TATACCCATATGTGCAGTGGTTTCACAAGTTTCACTGAAAGCACGTGCAGTGTTGTATTGGGGTGAACAACCTTTGCACATCCAAAAGTAATGCATTCAAATTCAGGCAAGTTTCCGTCTCGTGAAACAATCGCCCAAACGCAGCCAAAATAGTTTTGAATCAACATACACCTCAGGAATAATGCCAAGAACTGTTCTGTATTGAAGTGCTTTGTTCAGTGACCGCTGTATCCAAAGACCATAATATAATACAGCTGTCCTGACATTGTTCGTTTCAGAGGGCGCTCTCATACATTTTGAATGAGTACAGTTCAAAGGCAAAACCACAAAGCAGGTCTTATTTATAAGTTCAAGGAAAACCTTAGGTCTTACTTGAAGGAAGTAAAACCTCAAAGCAGGTCTTACTTGAACGTCAATCCTTCCTATGTACATTCAAAATCGTTTCCGGCTTTCAACTCGATTGATTCAAACAATGTACTTGCGGAGAGGAGAAAACCCGCATAGGATAAATGGATGACGTCACCAGAGGTTTATAAAGTTTTGCTTGCTTGTTGTGTAACGCCGCACTCAGCAATATTCCAGCTGTATGACGGCGTTCTGTCAATAATCGAGTCTAGACCAGACAATCCAGTGACAGCTTTGTTACAGTATGGGATTAATGATCACCGTAGCCCTGAGAGAATTTTCCAATGAACCCTGAACCCCTTACTTGGGAACGTCTACATATATGAAAATAGTGTCAGTACAATTTCTTGAACAATTTCTAATATCATCTTAAGAAGAAACAAGCATGCGACGTTTCAGCTTCACTGGCCCTGTAGTCTCACTGGGGGTGGTATGTACAGTGTTAGGGTATACATTTCAGTGATTTAAGGGCATGGTCAAAGTGCAAAGGTAAAAAAGTCAAAATTCAAAATATCATGAAAGCGTCTCCACAAGACTGTTTGACAAGAGGGATGACTTCAACTCTCCAATGGCCAGCTTTCCCTTTGTGTCGAGCAATATTCCAGCAGCTCCTAGTCTGTCTTACAGACCCTGATACAAATATATATCAAATACAGCCCATGCAAGTCTATAATGTTTGGCAAGTCTAGATTACTACAGTATCAGGATCTGAAAATGAAGAGAGTCACTGGGCTCCCTTTTATTTTATTTTTTATTAAGATAACTGAACAACAGTTACTGGGGTTTTTTTTCAGAGACTGGATGTTAGTCTAAGCAGCTCCAGGCTTTGGTGATTACAGTTAACGTTTGACGTACAATCTAGCATGCTCTTTCTACCATGACTTCAAAGAGCGTCATACGACTCTTGGTTAGAAGTTGTTTACTACATTCAAGGCCTCAGTGATACTTAGAAATCGTTTTATGGAAGACATGTGGAAGACATTTCCAAATTTGGCGCATCAAAGACAAAAAATATGTCCAATGCATATCCCTATTTTGGCTTGTATGATATGTTCCCTTGGTTTTTTTAGGTGAACAATTGGCTTGCCTTTGCATGTGTTTGTGACGGATGCCACCGGTGGGGAAGGATACTCTCACATTTTCGCGAACACTTGGTATCATCACTATTTGATAGTGATTCATAGACACATGTTCGTCTTGTAGTCGGAATCGTACAATCGACTCTGCTTTTGGCAGAGATTTCTAATGAATATGGAAACGGTGTTGTCGCATTTATTTTTGAATCACTTATCAAATAGTGGTGATACCAGGTGTTCACGAAGAGTGAGCGTATCCTGCCCCGCCGGGGGTTGGTTCGTTCTTAGATTTTACAAACAAAAAGATTACTCTGATATCGAAAGTGTTAATATTTTGCTGATGAAATTGTCCTCGATAATCTTCGGGTTTAGGTAATACATGGACTATCAAAGAGCTACAGATATTCGCTACTTTAACCCCTTAAGTGTGGCTACCTTAATAACTTCTCTGCTTGTAAGAGGCGACTAACGGGATCGGGTGGTCAGGATCGCTGACTTGGTTGATGCATGTCATTGCGTGGATTGATGCTCATGATGTCAATCACTGCATTGCTTGCTCCAGACTCGGTTATTTACAGCTGGAATATTGTTGAGTGCGGCGTTAAACAAAAAAAAAACAAAAAAAACCTCAATAACTTCAGTTATAACAGCATAGCGCAATTAGCGTTGATAGTAACTGTTCATCATATGCAAAATTATTTTTCACCATTTATTCATAAATTAATTTTAAAATCAAACTTCATGCTCAATGGGTTAACGATTCCTTGGATGTTTCTTCATAAAAAGCCCAGTGGTTAAAGCGTTCGCTCGTCAGGCCGGAGACCCGGTTCTATTCCCGACATGGGTACAATGTGTGAAGCCCATTTCTGGTGTCCCCCGCCGTGATATTGCTGGGATATTGATAAAAGCGGCGTAAAACCATACTCACTCATTCTTCATAAAAAGAATACATTACAAGTGTGAAATCCACGCAGACCAGCACTGACTGACCTCGTCACAAGGGTACATTTAGGAGGAACATCGGTTTCATTTAAACGATGAAAACGTAGAACAAAGTCAGATTATATGTAACGTACGTTTTGTCTTCGACTTTAACATTTCCCTAATGGAGTCTGTTTCATGCTATTAACCAGTTAGAGGTGCAAATTTAGGAAGATTGGGGCGATAAAAGTTGATTTCCTCTTAGATCTTCTGGTTTCAATTATGCTGGATATTAATGATACATGATCGACTATGGAGCGGCCCCTCCTGAAGCCATTCAGTTCATTCCTGATGATGACATTTCTCTCAGTCCATCTTGTCAGTCTCTCATTTAACCCTCTACAATACAGCTTATATGTTGCAGGTGTCAGAGTTATCCCCCTGGAACTTAACGTGTCCGAGGATCTGATTCAGACCAGTTGAAACTGATGAAACTCTTTGACCATATGTCTGGAATCCGGTTACCGTTGAAACATATCTTTAAAAGATGTAGAAACTTCACCCTACTATCGTTATTTCAAACCTCATATGGAAAAAGATATAGGTGAAAGTGGGCTGATTGACAAGGAAGCACATCCGTATAATAGATTCAAGATGATACGAGGAGAGGTGAAATGGTGTTTAACGCCCGTTCAAATTTATTGCACTTATATAGCGGTGCGCGTGTGTGTCTGTGTTTGTGTGTGTGCCTGCCGCAGTTTATCAAGAATTCCCCCCACAGAAACAGTATACTGACTTAGAGCCAACCAGTCTTTGTCTTATTTTCTCAATGTCGAAGGTCAGGCAGGTCAACAACAAACACTATCTTTCAAAGTCTTTTGGTTTGACTCAGCCGCCGGGGATCGAATCCCGGACCTTCCGCTCTCCGGGCAGACGCAGTACAAGACCACGTGGGTGTCTAAAGGTGACACGAACCTAAATTACAGTATACTATATAAATGAATCAAACAGGGATTTATTTACGAAAAAAAGTGTCTCACACTGACACAAATATGAACACAACATTATAATATGAAAGCTGGTATAATTGTGAACAACTTGTCGTGTTGTTAGCTACCAGTCCAGATTGACTTACCAACAAGTGTCACTGTTGCCTGATGAATTGCTTGTCAGTCTACTTCAAGGAACTGCATCAGTTGTTGATGATTTACTTGGGGTGGATGGTTAGCTCATATCCGTTGTCCAGGATCGTCCCAAAGATTCTCGATTGGTGCCAGATCCGAGAAGTAAGATGCCCAGTGCATTCAAATGGTTCCATTTAGGTTCTTGAAGTCTGTAACAGGCCGTATCATCTTGAAGTGTGCACCAAGTCTAACAGCATTCAAAGCAGGAATGACAAGTGGCCAAAGAATCGTTTATCAAAACAGCAGGTCTGTGAAAGATCATGGACGTGACCATTCGGAGTTCATACAGGACCACCACCCAGTATGTCACTTTCTCTGACAATTACATTCACTGCGTGTAAAGACTAGACTCTATCGTTGAACTGCAGACTGAAACGAGACGTCACATACGACCACTGCTGCCTCTTTCAATGAAGATGAGCTCTCCACCAAAAACATGTGAGCAGCCCTGTGACGTGCAGAAGAAATGGTGTTGCTGTTGGACATCTGGAAAGGATCCTGGGGGCACAGAGACAGTTTCTAACAGACAGTGCACCGACATTCACATGAGTGGCTGCCTGTGCCTTCAGTCTCAATGAACCAGCTGTCAGTGGTCTGCAGCCCTGGTTGCTGTGTCATCATCCCAAATCTTATCCAGTCTGTGAACAACAGATGGGGTCTTCTAGATGCCTCGTGCAACTCCTGTGGTGAATATTCCAACTAACCCTATCACATGACCTCGGTCTAATCTGCATACTGGTCTTCTTCCTCAACCCTTATAGCAATGAGTGCGTTTGACTCACAAGGATCATCACAAAATGATCATTTGAAATTTGGCAAATCCAAACTGTTTTCCAGTCTCACCTCAGGTTCTCATCTGTTGAGTGTCCTGTATTGGATGTGTTGTGTCTTATTTATATTGAATACAGCTATCTGAATATAGACTGTTGCAAATTTTGGGCATTTCCTTACTTTTTTGAAAGAGTATATTTAAACATTAACAGATACTTGGTTTCTCATTACTCTGAGAACCGTGTAACTTAACTTACATCTTCTAACTGAAATATTGTAAGAGCTGTGGCAACAATCTTTATTCAACTGCTTTATTCTTCTCGTTAAAGCTACACTCTATTTCATACCTCACATTAATATGAAAGCTTCAGAGGGTTAAGATCAGACAACTATAGAGTGATGTACCCTGTGAGTGAACCTATGTAAGCCTTGCCTGATAACATGGGTTACATTGGCTCAAACACTGGCTACATCACACCATATAATCTAGAGTTTGGTTAACTTATAAGTGTATGCAATAATGCATGGTATATGTAATACTGTGTGGTTTCAAATGAACATGTCACAGTGACCAAAGTGAGCCAGAACGACAATGGATTACACATTTAACTCGTGGTCTAAAACAATAAAAACAAAATAACAGTCATGATAAATGTAAATTTAATTCTGACGTGAAGTTGAAACATGTCATGATGCAACATACAATGAAGAAACCTGGATGTACTGCATTAAAAAGTCCCCTGGATGCTTGTCCAAAACACAACATCCAATCATGAGGCAGAGTGGCCAGCTTTTAAAAAAACATGTTAAGATGAGTTCTAAAATACACAAAACATACAAACAGATTCTTATCCTAACTTACCATATAATGTACATCAGAACAATATGCTCAATTCAGATTCTTGGACTGGAATATTTAACAATGTGATACTGAATAAATGTACAGTTGTTTGTGTGAACACACTCATGCCTCCATGGAAGTGACGATTAACAACAGAGGAACAGTTATATCATGACTTGACGGCTAATGTTGGAGGAAAGCCCAAACCAATGCAAGTCACTCATATTTAGGTACTACAAAAACACAAGGATCATGGTTGGGATTATCAAAAAATTCAAATCCACAAGCAGAGGCTCTTTCCTAAAAGATCAGGGATCATGAATATTTTGGGGGATATTATGAAATTTTGTGCTTAGTCTTCACTACAAAAGAACATCAATAAAAAATATTCAACATCCCCAACTTGTTTGTTTATATGACAGATTTGGAAAATAGGCTATGAGTTCTATCTCGGTATGTCTTCAGTCATCAAATACCAAACTAAAGTGACATACAGATTCTTTATAATGAGGAGATGATATCTTATTCATTGACCCGACACAATACCTGACTGACCCACACCTTAGCTGAATAGGCATAGCAACTGTTCACTTGAGTGGTCTTACTTGAAAAAATATCATTAAAACACATGATTCAACTTTCACAAACTCCAGTTGTTGTGGTCGCAGCGAGCTAGTCACAATCATTGTCAACATGTCCAGAATAACAATGGCATCATCCTCTGTGACTGTAAAATATTTCATCATTCTGTTTTTGTACCAACCCAGCCAAGGCCTCACTTCCTGGGCATCTTGTTGGGTGGAGGTCCTGCCACTAACGGTGGCCTCATGCCTACTGACATCATCGGGTGCATTGGGGGGCCCATCGGAGGTCCCATTGGAGGTCGCATTCCTACAACCAAGGGAAACATGTGATTGCTAAACAGGGATGTATGTTAAGGAGTTAAAAGTCCTTAGTTTTTTTACCCCCGAGGCATGCATATTTCTTGACATGATATTCTTGATTTATGTGAGTGTTTGTTGTTTGACGCTGCACTCATCAATATTCCAGATATATGATGGCAGTCTGTAAACAATCAAATATAGACAGACAATCCAGTGATTAACTTTGTGAACAACAATCCGTGCCATCGGGGTACTTTGCCATTCAGTTCACAAAGAAGTGGGGTGAGGTGAAATGAGGTTTAAAGTTGTGTTTAAGATTACTGCACTTATATAGCATCTGCTAGTACAAGTCTGGACTATTGCTGGTTTAATAGTGCCAGCCCTCTGAGATACCATTCCGCAGTTTAACATGAATACCCACTCAGACACAGTATACTGACACTGACCGACCAGTCCTTGTTTTAGCCCCTTAATGCCGAGCTTAATGTCGAACTAATGCCCTTCCTCTCTCCGAGTTTGAAAGAACACGAGAGCCTGAAGATAGTATCTGCTTACCTGGCATCATAGGTGGCATTGGTCCCCCATGGGGGTGTCCCATCAGCGGCATGCCTGGGGGTACTCCTCCCATCGGCCCACCGGGACCAGGGGGGCCTCCCTTTCCTGCAAAATACAGGAACATCATTATTGTCATGGAAACAATGAGGTATAATAAAAAAGAGATGCTTATTGTGATGTAAACTTACTTGAACATTATCTCTATGTTATGTTTCTCTATATGATACTATTTATCATGTTTACCATCCAAAATCATTCATCCAACTTTTTCAGTCTGTAAGCAATAATAACCAGTGTCTTTTGTGTAAAAACTACAGCTAACCAGCTTCGGTGGCAGAGACATTAGTGATATTATTTGTGATATCACAATCATGACAATGATCTGGAAAATGCTGTGATGCAATTTCATTGCAGCAATATCTTTTGTGGAAGCCAGTTTTGGTATGCAAAACAAAACCATTGTTATTTTCACACTAAATTAAAATGATGTACCATGACATAAATGGTGTACCAAGCAATAAAATAAGGTCAATGGAGAAATATATCGCTGTGGCATGTCAGAAATTGAGTCTCGACCAGGCAAGCTAGTGATTGATGAACATTCAATGATGAATGCCACTGCATTACATCGGTCAGGTCACACACAGTCAGGTCACACACAGTCAGGTCACACACGGTCAGGTCACACACGGTCAGGTCACACACGGTCAGGTCACACACAGTCATGTCACACACAGTCAACACTCAAATCCTATTTGGGCAGGTTCTTCTATTCCAAGCCTGGTATACTGGGGACCTTCTCTATACTGGTTCATGGTTGAAAGCGACACACCCACAGCAATGTGTCAACAACTATTAAACATTCTCAATAGACAAGTGTCCACAATACATATTATTGTCCCACACACAAGTAAGGCATTGGGATCTATGTCTTAGAGAAAAAATTCAAGAAACAATAGCAACTTCAAAATTGACAAAACAAAGACTTTGCCTTCATGAAAAGAAATTGATGTGGCTGTGTAAGGATGAGGGTAATATGTGGCGATGTCAGTTATGTATTGTGCACACTGACATCCATGGTGTAAGATGAGGTGAAATGGGGTTTAATGTCACGTAAAAAATTATTGCACTCATAAAGTGACGTACATGTATGTGTGTGTCTGCTTGTACTAGTCCGGACTAATGCTGATTTATAGAGCTAGACCACTGAGATACCATGCCGCAGTTTAACATGAATACCCCACTCAGACACAGTATACTGACCAGAAGCCGACCAGTCCTTGTTTTAGCACCTTAACAACAAGTGCCATCTTCTGGTATGACACGGCTGGGGATCTAACCCCGGACCTTCCGCTCTCTGGTCGGATGCTCTACCACAAGACCACGGGGGAGGTCCACGGTGTAAGGGAGACTACACTTGTCAGCCTGCCTCATAACAATGCATAAGGCAGCATACTGGTATGTTAGCTGCTGATTGGCCTATTGTTTGCCATGTTACCTAAGAAAAGAATATGATGCCTTCACATCCCCTCGTTGATTTCAGGTTAAGGAAATAGTAATTCCTGAAATGACTCGCGTAAAGTAGTATGTGCATAGGCCATTCATGGACTCCTCAAAGGGATGGATAATGAAACAATATCATGTTCATTCAGTGACAACTTACCTCCAAGGTTGGCCGGTGGGGGAACCATGGCGCCCTGCCCTCCTGGGCCACCCCCACTGCCGAAGGGGTTGTTGGAGATCTTCCCTGCCTTGTATGCCGCAGCTGCAGAAACAGAAGTTTCATCAAATTTGGCAATTGATATTTAATTGTGGTCAACTGACAAGTAAACTTGTCCTAGTCATGTAAATACTGCAGAATATTCTCCATGTTTCACAAAAAGATCATCGTACTAAGATGATCATAACTCCCATATTTAACGTAGACTTATGATCGTTGTAGTGCTAAATGTGCTTTGTAGAAAGAGGCCCTGGTTAATATCTATCACTTTTTCTTTTACACATCATAACAGGGAGAATCTGGGATTTGAACCCACGACTAGCAGATCCTGGCTTGACAAAGGGAAATAACACACCATAACACCAGCTAACTCACTTGTGTCATCCACCAGCTTCTGCACCTGCTCTTCCAGCCACTTCTGATAAAATAACCTCACATTTTCCTTGTGTTTTCGACCATTGCAATGGGTCTTCCTCACAGAGGGCTGAAAAAAGAGTTCATTGATAACTCTCAGGAACTATTTAAATAAAAAATGGAACTGTATTCACATCATTTTGAACAAAAACAATAGCAAGGAATGGGTAAAGCGCTCATAGATCAGTGACACCAGAACACAGGGCATTCCATTCCACATTCCAGTCCGAGTTTGTCTGCTTAACCATGTCAACATGCTTAGTGTTCGAGGGGGACCCAAAGTGATGCAGCCCAACCACTTTGCTGAAACCCACAGCATTGTCAGGTTCTGACAAAGCAAAGATCATCATAATCATAAACAGAGTGAACCTGGGATTCAATCTCATGATCAGCAGGTTCTGGCACTGGTCCTGTACAGCAGTAACAGCACCTACACCACTGAGCAACTATAACCCCTCTACAAAAACGTCAAAATCTAACTTCAACCAGGAAGTTAGTAATGACAACTGACAATGAGTGAATGAGTGAATTGGGTTTAACGCCGCTTTTAGCAGTACTTCAGTTATATTGTGGCGTGTCAGCTTAATGTGGGGGGGGGGGGGGAGCCTGAAGCGATGCAGGTCTTAGACGTTTACCACTTCGGTGAAACCCACGAGCACGGGTATGGTGCAGACAAACCTAGAAACATAATCTAGGCGAACCGGGATTAGAACCTACAATCATAGGTTTCTGGCGTGCCCAAGGGATGCAACTCTGCACAGTGAAACCCGTGCCCCCGTGACAATGACACATAAAAATGGTCAATGTTTAACTGGATATTAATATCTTCTTTATAACTTATATTGACAAAATCAAATGCTAATTCTATCTTGTGGTACCATGACTTCACAAGATTATGAAGTTGCTTTATTGCTATCTATCATGCCCATGTCAAAACCGCTGGATAATATTAATTTAATAATGACCCTAGTTTCTACACCTGTTTTTGACCTTCAGGACTTTATAAAATTATGTTTGCATGTTGATGTTTTGACAAGATTATAACATTACTTCCCTCATATCATGACAGTGAATCATGAATCAGAGTCATAATTTAACATGATAAAATGTAAAACAATGCCTTGGCCAGGATGAGTAAGTCATAAGCATGACAAGGAGCCAGGTGACTACCAAAGGAAAAACTCCCTGAAAGGTATGGTTTGTGAGCGAGTGATTGAAAGTGACTGAGTGAGGTGGATTTAATGCCGCTTTGAACAGTATTTCGGTTATATCATGGCATGTCACCTTAATGTGGAAGGAAAGCCAGATGTATTGCGGGTCTTGGACGTTTCCCACTTTCGTGAAAGGGCATGGTGCTGACACACGAAGAAACACAATGGGGGAAACCGGATTCCACCCATGACCTTAGGTTTCTGGCATGCCCAAGGTACGCAACTCTGAAAAGAGACATCTAGTAACATAGAAAACTGAAACTCACCGAGTCATGGGTCAGGTAGGTGTCACAGTAGTCACAATAATACCTGAAATACAATAGAGACAGTATTAATGTGTAACCATAACATGAATTACACAACATATGAAGATGTTGATGAGGCTTATGGTTATATTACAGGAGTGAGTGAGTGAGTATAGTTTTACGCCGCTTTTAGCAATATTCCAGCAATATCACGGCGGGGGACACCAGAAATGGGCTTCACACTTTGTACCCATGTCAGGAATCGAACCCGGGTCTTCGGCGTGACGAGCGAACGCTTTAACCACTAGGCTACCCGACCGCCCCTCATATTACAGGAACTCAACTTGAACTAAATAAGGGATTACCTTATACATGCAATACAGAAGCATGTTAAGAAAAGAAAAAACATGATATGTTTATACATGCACCATGGTGTTGATAAAATGATGACAAATCCCTTACAGAGAGTGAGTGAGTTAGGTTTGACACCTCTTTTAATAGTATTTCAGGTATATCACACTGTGTCAGCTTAATGTGGGAGGAAAGGCTAAAGTGATGCAGGTCTCAGATGTTTACCACTTCTGTGAAACCCACGAGCACGGGTATGGTGCTGACAAACCTAGAAACATGATTGTGGCGAACCAGGATTCAAACTCACAATTACAGGTTTCTGGCTTGTCCAAGGGACACAACTCTGCAAAACAAATCGCTGCGCCTTAGACGACTGGGCTACCCGTGCCCCCCCCCTAACAGAGAAGGGCAAACATCAAGAATTACTTGAAATGATTACATTTTTACATGAATTGGAAAGAAATATGCATTTTATATTCCTAGCACTTTGTTTGCAGTGTGCATGTGTGTGTTTCTTGTTTAAAGCTGCATTCCACAGTATTGCAGCTATGACAGCTGTCTGTGAATTATGAAATAGAGACTGTATCAGACAATCCGGATCAATATTTTCATTCTACCCTGGATCAGACAATCCAGTGGTTAATATTAACTGCTATAATTCATGCCATAAGGGTACACTGACATGCCATTAACCAGTTACCCAGTCTGACAACCGGAACAATTTAGCCACATCTTACTACCAGCATGGGTTGCTCGGGGCCAATTGAACCATGAGTCCCCAGAGTTTTCCAAATATAGTTGTCTGTTCCGACGAGTAGCATGGTACTGGGTACACATTCTACCCTGGGTCTCCTGAGTCACTTTCATCCTTTGATTATGATAACTTAATCTTCACTCGATTAGAATACATTATAATCATCATAACAACAAGAAATTAACCAAGTCATCAAGCCTGACCACCTCAGCCAAATAATTCATCTATTAAGAAAGCATAAGAGTGGCTGGAGTCCTATGTAGACAGATTCTTTGTTTCACACACTCTTTCAAGTAACAAAATTTAGTCGAAGTATTGTTACGTTTATAATAGACATGTGAATATATAGGTTTAACTAGCATTAAATATTGACTGAATGAAACATAAAATGTGTTCTACATTTAAGCGCTTTGACATGTGAATACATGGTTTTACTAGCAACTAAGTATTGACTGAATTCTCGCAACGGCAGGACTACCCACACAAGCAACTAAAATTGGTTACTGGTGGAGGACAAAAGTAGAACAAAATGGTAGCCGTTGTTGAAATTAATAATACACTAAAGGCCTCCGTCGTGCGTGACAATAAATCAGGTAAATAAGGGCATACTTGGGCATATTTGCTGCACTAAAACCCCGATGTTAGTATTTCTTCAGCATGCGTCTCGTCCATCCAACGCACAGGAAGTTGAGGTGTTTGACAAAGTGCGCATTTAAAACGAAATACGTTTATCACATTTCGTCAATTCTGCAAATATTATGTCAAATTAGAATGTATGATGTAGCGACAGATATGTAAATTAAAGATTTCTCTATAACAGTGTTTATTTTGTGTGAATTAAAAACACATTTCTAATATAAAATCGTCGTCCTGGTTCGTTCCTGTATAGTTAGTCCATTTTAAATAAACTACTCTCCAAACAGACATAAAATATAACTAACGGTCACTCTTAAAACAAGTGTGTTACTTAATGCATCAAAATGTTGTTATTTTTTCACATATATATAATTAAATAGCTAGATTTAAAGACACAGTAACCAACGCTCCCATGATTGAATAAGCTCTGATTTAGCAGATTACAGCCTGGTTTACAATTATTACTAAAAATGGCGGAAAGCTTGAGCACGATACTTCATCGAGAAGTTGTTGTAACAGCCTCAACAGGAGTACGATGGAAAGAAATAACTATCTACACTGGTAATGACCTAAATCCATATATGTGTATTCTTTACATTAGGCTATTTGATATATGCTGTTAAGTCTTAATCAGAGTCGTGTAATTAAATTTGACAAAAACAAACCGGCAGGTGCCCTGTGCATATTTCGATCACAATCAGACTTACTTTAGCCTTGGAGTTGCTGGCAAACATGAGTTGAAATATCGCAAAAGAATGTTGTCACCTAGTTACCGGCACATCTGCAGGCGTAGTATTTCTCTTTTAGGGAATTTTTTTTTTAAAAATATGTAGATCTAATCATGAATCAGAAGTCAGATTAACTTAGCATGGTGGAAGGGTTCGTTGCTGGCACGGGTACTACAGATCTGTACACCAGATACGTTACTGTATACAGAAATGTACCCTAGGCAAAATCTGAACAGAGAAAGGTACCCAGAACCCTAAAGGGTGAAAGAGTCCATATTCCTCAACCCGAAACCGAAACCGGTTCATATTGTAGTTCTGGTTAGCCCGATGACGAGTGCACATGGTGCATGCTGGATAATGTTATACAACGTTGAATATTTGAGTAATGTAGGTATGTCACTGTGTTTGCTCAGGTTTTTTTTTCATAGCACACTGGAATGCATCTCATACAGTAGTATGACAGTTCCAATCCATTTATTGAAAGGAAATACCGAGAGAATAATATACAACGTGCACTGCTATGTTGAATTTTACAGCGGTTTGGCATCCAGAATGTGTCATATATTTAAGCGTTCAAGCAACCGGTTAAGCACATTACGCAATATGTCTTGCGGCAGAATGGACTCATCCTTGGGTAACTGTCTGTATACTAATTTTGGCTAGGGTACATTTCTGTATAGAGAAACGTACCTGGGGTACATATCTGTAGTACCTGTGCTGACAACGGCTCCTTCAGCCTTTGCATCATACACATCATGCACATTGTCCCAAAGACATAATACTGATTTGCCTGTCCAACAAATATCAGACTATTCACATACATGTATATTAGGATTACTGCATTTCAGATTTCAATTTGAGCAATGTGGAGGATTGAACTCGCAAAGCTAGGTTAATAAGTTAGGTAATCTAATTAGCCAACAATTTACCATTTGACCAGGGAACTGTCACAAATAATTAGTGCTGGTTTACCTAGTGATCATCACCTAATTGTTTACCATGTTTACCCTGATGGGTGGTAGGTACTTGTCTCTACAAAATGCGAAATTTGATATAAATTGCAAATACTTTCCTCAATTACATTTGATTAATATGTTAAGAAAGGTGAGATACTCAGATGGCTAACCATCACCCAAACTCAAAACAAGGTTTGGACGATACACCAACTGTGGGATCCGATACGTATCTCAATACCTTACTCACGATCTGATATGTATCAGGAAACTTGCATGTGCTCTTATCTGTGGTGAGTAAGCCATCTTTTTCATGGCCAAATACCTGGCACACTGATGATTTACATGGCGCAATGGATGTTTTCACTATTAATTTGCACTATTGATTAGTGTATAGTGGAACAGTTATTAAAGCAAACATTTAAGGTCAGAATCAATATGTTTTACTTAGTGTGCGACTGTGATCGATACTTGTCAATCGAGAAGTAAAAAATCGCGATCCACCAGTGCATCGGTGTATTGTCCCACCACTACTCACAACTTTGGCGAGACTGGCTGCAGCTTGTGGCTCTCGCTTCACTGATCTCACATGCCTCTTCAATCCTTATGGTTAGTTGTGTTTGGTTGACCTCAACTCTCTCCTTGCCTTGGATCACCTTTCCAATCAAGCACCCCTTTCAATCCTTAGGTTTAGTTGTGAGTTAGGGGATTGGGCATCTTCCGAAGCAAGAGAGTTAACTGACTACAAAAGTCCAGTTTCCACCCTTGCCGAACTAGGCTGGTATTATGGAGTTACATTTTGGCTTTACTAACGAGTCAATGCATAGTCCAATCCTAATCGCGCACCGAAATCGAAACCTGGTTTGTAAACTGTCGTGCAGATTTCGGTCGATTGCAGGATTTGTAAAGCATGTGCACCGCCAACTCGTTGTCAACAGATATTTTCCAGATCTTTTCATGTTTTTAATCAAGGTGCTCACGTGATTTGGTGCACTTCGCGATGTAAGACCCGTTTTATCGCAATATAGATGTTGATTATCAATCAGATCATCTTGACTGGGCGCCACCATTTTGTTTGAAAGAAATGCAAGTGATACAAGAGGTGGAATCTGATTGATCTATAGGAGAGGCTGAGAAGGGACATAACTCGTAATAACCACTAGTGGCGCTACAGTCGAGCACAGGAATTCCAGTATAGTTCGGCAAGGGTGGAAACTGGACTTTTAAAGTCAGTTAACTCTCTTGCCTTGGGAAGATGGGGATTGGGTGGCTATTTCATCTCTCATAACTAATTTATCCAACATAATTTGAAGAAAATCAGTGTCCAAGAATTTGTACCAGTCATAATATGTGTTTAGGATCTGAGTTCTAAGAACAAACACATTGAGTCATAATATTGTGAGAACTGTAAATATGTTGGTTTTCCAGGTGCCTCTGCCAGCACCCTGCAGGACATCAAGGTGCCGGAGAGCTGTGGCGGCTACTGCTACCGAGATGCTGACTCTTCAGGGCTGGAGAACTCCCCCGTCAGAAACAGATTCATATACTGGTGAGTTGATCAATAGTTTTGAGCTTGGGATATTTCATTCTTCCATCATAGTTCAGTTGGTATGATTCCGTGATCATTCTGAATGTGTAACTTTTGTAGAAGCTTTATGTGATTTATTTGGGATCCTTATTCCTTGATAGGGGCGGTTGGGTAGCCTAGTGGTTAAAGCGTCCACTCGTCACAACGAAGACCCAGGTTCGATTCCCGACATGGGTACAATGTGTGAAGCCCATTTCTGGTGTCCCCCGCCTTGATATTGCTGGAATATTGCTGAAAGCAGCGTCAAATCATACTCACTCACTCACTTATTAGTCCTAGATAAGTGGACGGAAGAGAGGAAGGTCGGTGGTTTTATGCCCTGGCCGTGTCTTACCAAAATACTTTAAAGATGGTACTTATTGTTACCCTGCCTGGCTTTTTGGTATCAATAAAATTAAATAAGGACTGGTCAGCTCAAGATAAACAAGCATTTCGTCCCCTTCATCATGATGTTTGTATGATTTAGAAATAGAAATTATTTTTTGTTTCTTGCGGGAATTATGCAAACTATTTCAAATTTAACATAGTTAACATGGTCGAGGGAACATTTTGAAAAAATCAGTCGATTGACAATCCCAGATATTTTGCTGATACAATACCTCTCACCATGAAAGTCTGAAAACCCCTCCACAGGATCAGCCAGTCAGGATCAGCCAGTCAGCGTCAATGTTCCTAAATCCTTGGTATGAGTGTGAAGCATTCAGATTAGCCTAGATGATTTTTCTGTCTTGAAAAAGAACATAAACATGATAAATGGAAGATCAGAATGAAAATAATAAAGGCCATGCTTTTATGTGGTTGTGGATTTTTTATGAGCGTTATGTCAACTTTACCCAAAAGAGCATACAATCAAAGGATTTGTGTTCTGTGTATTTTTGTCTTTAAAGGTGGAAATGTACTCTAATGATTTGAATATTTGACCATTAGACCAGTGGGAGTGTTGCTTTGTTTCCAGGAGAGCAAATGATGACACCCTAGAAATGGTAGAGCAGTCACTGGACGTGAACCTGTCTGGTAACCATGTGCGGTACAGGTTCCAGGACACACCAATACTCAACGGCATCTCAGTTCACGAAGCCCGCAACAGCCTTGTCATTCTGGTCCCCACTGTGGCCAGCGTGCACAGACTCGTCTTTCCCCACCCCCTCAAACTGGACAGAAGGGTGAGTCAGAAAATCAGTCATAAAGTCAGACCATTATTCGGCGTTAAGTTTGGTTGCAACACATTGTGTATAAGATATCTAAACTCACTTATTGTGGACGGGTGGTGCAGTCGTCTAAGATGCTGCAATTCTCTGTACAGAGGTGCATTCCTTGGGCACGCCCGTAACATGTAATTGTGGGTTTGAATCCCGGTTCCCGGATTATGTTTCTAAGTTTGTCAGCACCATACCCGTACTCACCATACTCTTTCTCTATCTCTATCTATGAGATTCATCCAATGTGCCCGGGAAATGTTTTTGAAATTTGTAATGATGAAAAATGTCTTATCAAAGTTGAACAGTGGTCCAGATAGATGGCGTGTTGTATGGATGCAAATGAGTCAAATAATGATGGATTGTAAATTACCACAATATCAAATAATACTATCCGCACTTATAATTAATTGTTACTGGACAGTGTCTACTTATTCTCAAAACAGGGCGAAACTTCTGTTTGCCGTATTGGGCATAACCTTCCACTTAAAGAGGAATATGTCATTTTGTATCAGCAGCAAATGGGTTTCATCCCAATCCTGTATTGTTATTGGCTAATAATATTGCACTCGAATTCTCTCGTCTCGGTTATGTTTACGTTATTTGCACCAAAATCTGAATGTAAAACACAAGGTCTTTAAATTATGGCTGTGAATTTCATACCAGTACTTGTCAATTCTACAAATGAGCAGTGCGGTACTATTGTCTGATACTGGTCAGTTCTGATAATGACCAGTACTCTAATCTTATGTTTGTAATATTATCTGGAGCACTGATTGAATAAAAATCCTGATAATGATCCCTAATTCCGTTCCTCTCCATGACAATTACAGACTGCGTAAGACTGGGCTGTTCTCATTGATGATGTAAGAAACTGCATCAGTTACATTTTTACCAAATCATGATGCAGCTAATATGACCTTGTTTGGATCCTCAAGGAGGCTAGATTCGCAACTGACACATCCCCATTGTCCATCTTCTACGACGCCACAGTTGCCACAGCAACAGAAGCCAAAAACATGCACATGTTGAACCCTAGCGGAAGCATCACAGCCCATCTCCTCACAGCCGCCACCCACGTCACCAGCGATGGAGAGGCACTCTTCGTCCTTGCCACGGATGCAGGGGGGATAATTCAGGTCAAGATGCCAGCCTTGGGGGTTCAAGGTAAGCCACAGTCCAGACTTGACTATGATAAATAGTTTTTTGGTGAATAGTGTGTCAAATACCCAGAGTTCCTGCTTGAAAAGGCCTTGAATCTTAAGGTCCCTCTTGAAAAGCCTGCATTTTTTGTGTCAACTTTGAAAAGCCTTGAAAATCACCAAAATAGGCCTTATGACTAATATAAGGTAAGGTCTTGCAACTAATATATAGTATGATCTTATGACTAATATACAGTATGGTGGATTTAAAGAAATATTGACAGACAGAACCCAAGTAATAACCCAACTAAGTAGGCCTTCAAAAGGCCTTGAATTTTAGTGTTCTATATCTGTATGAACCATGGTCTAGCTCTCTGTTGATGACTGTTGTTTAATGGCTGTCCTGATGTCTGTGGCAGGAGTTGTTCAGCAGCATGAGCTGTCACAGTCCTCCATGATGCAGAAGTTGTGGAATGGCCTGGTTCCTGTCCTCATCAGGTGAATTGAAACCTCCTTCTACCTTCCTGTGTTGCCATAACAATTCTACACCTGTAGTCCAGAAAATGTCAATACATGATGTTAATAGGTAGTCCTCCTTATGTTGATTATTAATGTGTCTGTGTTCTGATCACTGATATTGTATACTTATTCAGAGCGGTACCAATTATAACCAGCACTGTTAATAGTTGAAGTGTCATAGATACTGGTGATCAAAACAAGCCTTTACAGGGACCAATAGATTCCGATCAACTATTGTTAACCTAACTATTTAAATAATTCAGAGTTAGAAATTGGCAATAGTCCTGTAGTTCTTGCCAAACTGCCCAATAGTTAAGGTATCAAAAGGACTAGAAGAAATTTGCCATTTTTAGGGGTTTTGCTATATGTTATCATTGTAAGGACTAGTGGACTAAAAATATTAGTTTCTACCAGGGGTCCGGAAACCGTCATATACGCCGGACATGTCCGATTGGGAATCTCAAATGTCCGTTTTAAAATATTGCTTACCGGACATTTTAAAAAGTATTGTCCGGACATTCTTAAATTTTGACCAGACATGATCAACAGTTAGGACTGAGCAGTTTCTGTCTGCAGTTGCAACACATGAAGATTAACTACACTGACAAGCTTTGTTTGTTTTGATTGCTGAAAATACATCGTACCTACATGATTTTTACCCTGTAATTACTTGTAAGGAATCCTCTATGCACTGTCTATTGCAAGGTAGCAACATGTATGGTAGAGTTAAAAGTACAAATCAATAAAAAATTACATTACATTTCATATATTGTTTTCAGAGGGGTGCAGCAAGATGCTGGAACAGCCACTGGCATCGTCATCCATTCCATTCATGGCGAGGACTTCATCTTCTGCGTGTGCCGTGACCACAAACTAAGGATGTGGTCTGCTAAGGTAAGGTTTGTTTAATGTTCCCATTTCTTAAGACACATAAAATACAAGACCCTGTTCTTTACTGGGGACTCAGATGGCCACAATATTTGCTGTGCAGAGTTGCTTCCCTTAGCTGCCAGAATCATTCCCAGATGCACCCAGATTGAGGATTTGTTTGTTTGTTTGTTTGTTTGTGAATGATGCCAGTCTGTAAATAAACGAGTCTGGACTAGACAATTGGGATACAATGACATGCATCAACCAAGTCAGCGAGCCTGACCACTCAATCCCGTTAGTCGCCTCTTACAATAATAAAGTTGCCTTTTACCGCAAGCATGGTTTGGTGAAGACCTACTCTACCCCGGATCTTCACGGGTGCCAAGATTTAGGTTCTTGGTTTGTCACAATACTTGTGCTTGTGGGTTTCACATTGACAGACAGTATTTAAAGGGGTGTTACACTTGTCATGACCCACCAGCTTGGGACAACTTGCAATGGCACATTTTGCTATGAGGCTGAAGACACCATTGACAGACTCAGTCTTTGCTCATAAACTAATAGACATTCAATGGCCTCAAGAAAATATTGTCCATGATTTCAGTCGAAACTTCATATTGATACACAGGGGGTTGGGTAGCCCAGTCGTCTAAGTCGTCTCTTGGAGACGCCAGAAACATATGATTGTGGGTTCGAATCCTGGTTCGCCCGAATTATGTTTCTAGGTTTGTCAGCACCTTACCTGTGGTAAACATCTGAGACCTGCATCACTCAGGGCTTTCCTCCCACATTAAGCTGACACGCCGTGATATAACTGGAATAATGTTAAACAGCGTTAAACCCAACTCACTCACTCACTCACTCACTCACTCACTCACTCATATTGATGCACAATTTATAAGCAAAGTTAACATTTGTTAGATTTTTGTATTGAAAGAGAAAGTTGTATTTTACAGACAAGAGAGTGCATTCTTGCCTACAGCCTGCTGGAGTTTCTGTCATCTCGGGACCAGTCTCTGCCGCCAGTCACCAGCAGTAAGATACAGTTGTCTCCCCTTGATTAACAGCCACATTCACTTCATCCTTTAGTTAACCAGTATTTCAGCTAAACTGGATAGATTTATCATTAAACAGCCCGCATGTTATCAGAAATGAGCGGGCCACTGTAACTTGATAATGCCCTCATATTGCTTGGCAACGGGCCATTATCACGTTCAGCAACGTCAAATGGATAGGGATAGGTGACATCACATTCAATAGTGACGTTATCTGGTTTGTTCTATGACGTTTCCATATTTGTAAAAGTGGGTCAGTGAAATTTGTGTTGATTGCAGTAAATGTTTCAAAACTGGTATTTTTGTTTATTTTTATTTGATGACAAATTCTGTTCATTTTAGCTATAATAAGGGTAACTCTATTTCTCAGGGCATCATCATTTGCAGAAGCCCTCAAACTTTTCAACTGCCCTCCTTCATCGGGCAGTTAATGGGAGACCTCGGGCTTCTGCAAATGATAATGCCCTGAAAAAAGGGTTACCCTTATAGTGATGCTACATTACTGTAATTACCTAAATAAAGGCATATGTAATGGTGTGGACAGCCTGTGACTTCAATCACTTGTCCAAAGCCCATGTCTTGTAAATTTTCTTTTGGCCAAGTAAATGGTCTATATGTTTTTACTTCTAAAGGGCTACTGAAATTAGTACTGATAGGCATGTTTGTGTAGGTGATACATACTCATGTATGTCCTGAGGTTTACATTCATTCACGTAATCTGTTTGAGTAGGTAATTATAATCAGATAACCCATTGTCATTTCAAGAAGGGGGCACCGGTTGCCCAGTTGTCTTAGGCACCGCAATTTGCTGTGTAGAGTTGCATCCCTTGGGCGTGCCAGATGGATTCAAATCCCCGTTCCCCCTGATTATGTGTCTAGGTGTGTCAACACCATAGTCGTGCTCGATGGTTTCACCAAAGTGGTAAAGGTCTAGGACCTGCGCCACTTTGGCTTTCCTCCACATTAAGCTGACACGCCATGATATAACTGGAATGCCGTTCAAAGCCTACCTCATTTACTCTCTCATTTCAAGAAGAACATGCTCAAGAAATGACTAAAATGTCTTCCCACAAAGAAGAATCATGAAGGCAACTGTCAGTTTGTAAAGTCATGATTGACCTTTTTTAGCTTGCAACTGAAATGATGTTTGAGCAGTTTCAACTCACTTGCTCTTGCAGCCTCAGGTCATGTGATAAAGAAGGTGATCAACCCCAAGAACAACTCCTTCCAGCTATGTGTCCATCTTACTTTCCCAGACCAGAACCAGGTACGTTCTTGTTAAACTGAAGCTTATTCCTCCCAACCACACTCCCGAGTAGTTTGTTTGTTGTTTAACGCCTCACTCCAGCTATATGTTAATCCAGCAATCTGTAAATAATCCGCTCTGGGCCAGACAATCTAGTGATTGACTTCATGAGCATTGATCGATGCCATTGGGATGCGATGACATGCTTCAAACCAAGTCAGTGAGCCTGACCACCAAATCCTGTTTATCTCATCCTACAACAAGCATGGTTTGCTGAAAACCCAATTCTTATCAGGATCAATACAAGTCTTCATCCAAACCTCTTCATGCATTTGGTTCAAATTTGGTGCCAATGTACCTTTTAGATGTTAGAAGATCATAGTTGATAATGGTGACCTTGACCTTATTTCAAGGTCATAGATGGCAGTTGGTCAATTAGCTGTTAGTGAGATATCCAAATACAGACAATGACTGAAGGTATGACCTACACCATGTTACCCTATCTGCGTGAATAGAAGCTCATGCTATCAGGGGCGGTCGGGTGGCCTTGTGGTTACAGCATTCGCTTGTCACCCTGAAGACCCGGGTTCGACTCCCAGCATGGGTACAATGTGTGAAGCCCATTTCTGGTGTTCCCCGCCATGATATTGCTGGAATATTTCTGGATTTATGCTTTCATGCCACTGTGTAAGTGCAATAATCTAGAACAAGATGTCTGTCCCCATTTCACCTCTCGTGTTCCTGCTCTGTGTTGCAGTTCTGCCTGGTGAAGCCAGTGTACACAGACAGCAGGTTTCACATCCAGCACCAGGTCACAGTGTTTGGCCCCTTGGTAAGTCGATCATGTCATACGGATGATGTTAGAGTCTCTAGTGTCTGCACTGCAAGGCCCCATGGCCTTTACCTTGGTGAATGGAGTCATTATAAATTGCCTTACATTTTTATTGTTGTTGTTGTCCTGATAACAATTTAGATGGATCCAAATGGATTTTTTCTGAACAAAAGAGAACTTTAAAAGAACCATTTTACAAAAACATAAGACATATAACTTTTTATTAATCAAAGGATATACTTCATTTCATTCTCTTTTAAATGTGATTTTGGGGAAAGAGTTGAATTTTCTCTAAAACAATTGATGTGATTATTTTTTCTAAGTAATATGAATCTGTCTGTGTTGCAGGAAGACCTTGTAGACTACTGCGTGACGGCTGACAAACTCTACACACTGTGGACCAGCCAGTCAGGGGAGACAATCTCTCGAGTAGCAATCATTGCTGGGTACGTTACTTTGTACTGTTTCAAGAGTTCCTCATTTTATTTAAGTCAGTTGCGATAAACATGTTTTTGTCAGCACAATGAAAATGCATTAGCATGATTGAGCAATATTCACTCCCTCCGAACTATCTGTGAAAGACTGATATATAACTGAAATACTGTTCAAAACTGCATTGAATTCAACCCACTCAGTCTCTAGATATTTCTTCTTCAATTATTGTTATCATTCATATTAATTAAACGACCATTAGAATTATCTATCCTGCTATGACAAAACTGCCATTGCGGCATATTACTGTGTAAAAGTTTCACGGGAACATCAAACATTATCCGTTGAGGATTGTTGAGGCTGATAATGTAACATGTTCAGGGTGGACAGTGACGACACAGAGTCGTGGGTGGAGGTGTTGCTGCAGCCCCAGGAGGTGGCCGACATCCTCATCCCCTCCTTCCGTGACCCCCGCGATGTCTACCTGGAGAGGATCTTCCACCCAGGCAGGTTCTCCAGTCAAGACCTGCTCAAGGCTCTCAATGTAAGTGTAGATAGCTAGCAATGTCATATCAACAGTCCATAGTCAAGAAGGTGAAGACATTTAAAAAGGATTCTGAATTATTATACTAGAACTCTTATACTTATAATTTGAATGGTTGAATTCATGAATAAATAAATCAGATGAATACTACAATGAATCTGTTTTGTCTTTTTCCCATTTTGGCTGCTCCGTATCTGACTTCACCTAGGAACAAGGGTACTAGGAAAGAAATTGGAAGTCACTGAACCTTGAAGTTTCACTGTCTTTAAAATCAGATCTTAGTTCTCGATACCGGTAAACAAAGCTCTGAGGACATCCCTTTCCAGGTCACGTCAGAACAACCTTTTGCAAACACTGACCAACCAATGAAATGACTAGTTAGAAATCAACACCAACGAAATGACTAGTTAGAAAACAACATCAGCTGATCAGAAAGCAGCTTTCTCAAGCTTTCCGGGACTGGATTCAAAATGGCGACTCTCATTCCAGACTACGCTTTGAAGAGGTTTGATTCAAAATTTGAAAACCAAACAAGAGAAACTTCTGGAAAGTCGAAAAGATGGCCGAGATTGAATGGCAGTACTTCTTACCAGCTATGGAAAGTCCTGTCCGTTTCAAATGTTTAACTCAATTGAAGCGAGGGAGTTATTTTGAAGTTATCAGTCGTACAGTCCGTAACTGTCATTCAGAATACCCCGTAATAACCTTTTCGAGGTTGGATGATTAGAAAACATATTCCAATCCCATATCTGGTAAACAATGCTTTGATTGGTCGGATGAAAGGTCGTTCAAACGTGACCCATAATGGGATGTTCTCTGATCTTTGTTAAGTGGTAACAAGAACTAGGATCTGATTTTAATGAGATTGATAAAGTATGTGAACTGAAACAGTAGTCTTAATGGGGAATAGTCATAATGGGAAAACACCCACTTAGAAAACATACCGTATTCCATGAATAAGCGGCCAGGGCGCTCTCAAAATTAGAAATAGGGGGCTCTTATTAGAATTTATTGTGGTGAAAATAAACAGAGTTGAAAGATAAATTTCGTGGTTAATGCTGACAGCCTGAAATGTTTATGTACGACAGATATATTTTTCCAGAATTTAATTGACCATGATTAAGGGTGCATATAACACACGAGTGCGTATTATACGCGAAAAAATAAGTCTTGTGTACATTGATCAATCGGAAGGGGTGCCATTTGGGATTGTTCACTAGCCAATATATTAGCAAATATCGCCGTGGGCGCTTATTAGAGCGGGGTGCTTATTACGTCGAATATGGTATCTGTTTTTGAAAGAAATACTTTGTGGTGATGTGTGTATCATATGAAGCCTGTGATATATTCTCACATCACGGTAATCTGGACAAACGGGCACAACGTTACTACATATTTGTGATTATCCTGAGGCACATCTTTATACCTGCTTTCTGCATACACTCCTCCATCAGACATTGGTTGATGTTCTTTGCAGGTATACAGACGTTCCCTGGACACAGCTCTACAGGCCGAGAGTATTGTCAGCATGTCCAACCTGCGAGAGGAAGTTGTCAACGCTGTAGAGTCTGAGGTAGGTGTTATGAGTTGTAAGAATCCAAGATTGGCTTCAACAAACTTGTCTGGATTGAAAGGCTTTAGGATTCATGGAACATGGTGTGATGAGTGTGTTATCTCCTGCCAGATCCGGAACTGTGCCCTGGATGTTGAGATGCAGGAGGAGGACTACTACCAGCTGCAGCTGGAACAGTGGAGCAAGTTCTACTCTTGCTGTATACAGTACAAGGAGGTGGGTAGTGTAACATAACATACCAGGAGGTGGGTAGTGTAACATAACATACCAGGAGGTGGGTAGTGTATCATAACATACCAGGAGGTGGGTAGTGTAACATAACATACCAGGAGGTGGGTAGTGTAACATAACATACCAGGAGGTGGGTAGTGTATCATAACATACCAGGAGGTGGGTAGTGTAACATAACATACCAGGAGGTGGGTAGTGTAACATAACATACCAGGAGGTGGGTAGTGTATCATAACATACCAGGAGGTAGGTAGTGTATCATAACATACCAGGAGGTGGGTAGTGTATCATAACATACCAGGAGGTGGGTAGTGTAACATAACATACCAGGAGGTGGGTAGTGTAACACAACATACCAGGAGGTGGGTAGTGTATCATAACATACCAGGAGGTGGGTAGTGTATCATAACATACCAGGAGGTGGGTAGTGTAACATAACATACCAGGAGGTGGGTAGTGTAACTTAACATACCAGGAGGTGGGTAGTGTGACATAACATACCAGGAGGTGGGTAATACAACAGATAACATACCAGGAGGTGGGTAGTACAACAGATAACATACCAGGAGGTGGGTAGTACAAAAGATAAAATACCAGGAGGTGGGTAATACAACAGATAACATACCAGGATGTGGGTAGTATAACGGATAACATACCAGGATGTGGGTAGTACAACAGATAAAATACCAGGAGGTGGGTAGTATAACGGATAACATACCAGGAGATGGGTAGTACAACAGATGACATACCAGGAGGTGGGTAGTACAACAGATAACATACCAGGAGGTTGGTAGTACAACAGATAACATACCAGGTGGTGGGTAGTAGAACATCCAAGTTGAATCTTGACTGCCAATGCACCGTCTCCAATCTGTCTTCAGTGATATAAGATGTTTGCATGAATCGTCTTTCCCATGAGAGCGTTTTAATCACTTCAACTACTTGTCCTCCAACATCTCCTAAACATAATAGTTATCGATCCATTACATTGATATTTGTTGGTGATGTGTCGACCATGTTTTCAGGTTGGTGCCAAGGTGAAGGGCCTGTTCTCGGACAGTGTCACCGGGCTGGTTTGCCTCATCAGGAAGGTAAGTGATGCAGTGTCTTCCCCTGTGGGGACCTCGGGGTAGACAAGGACCATGTAACCCATGTTTGTTGTTATAGCCAACTTGAGAGGATCGAGTGGTAACAATGTGTGACCTGGCTGATTGTTTGTCCTCATGCCCTGACAAAGTGAATCGTTGCTACAGTTTGATTGGCCCAGATTTGTCAAGCCATTGTTATCCATCCTTGCTAACACAGTGTCCTATGTCTACATAATAAAAGTGAAAAGTGAACTTGCTGCAATACAGACTCTCATGCAAGTGTAAAATGCAAGCTGACCAGTCCCATCAGGCCCACTGTCACTGAATATAAGGGGTTGGGGCTGGGGCTGGGGCTGGGGCTGGGGATGGGGATGGGGCTGGGGCTGGGGCTGTGGCTGGGGCTTGGGCTTGGGCTGGGGCTAGACAATAGAGGCCATGAGAAACAATAAAAGGCAAGCGCAATGGTGGCTGTGCTATTGTAATAGTGAAGCAGGTCACATTGAGTGGTTGGGCAAGGACTAAGACTTAGGGATTAAAATAATTGCTGACATTAAAATACATTTGATAATATAAACATCATTGTACATAATTACATACTTCTACATCATGATTGAGTACCCTTGACCAGTTTGATCAGAATATGAAATGGTCGTCTATAACTAGTAAAACAACACTCACTCACTCCCTTCCCAAGGACCGCCTCCGTGGTCAAGTGGTATAGCATCCATCCAGAGAGCAGAAGGTCTAGGGTTCGATCCTTGGCCTCGTCATACCAAAACATGTTAAAAGAGGTACTTGTTGTTGCCCTGCCTGGCGTTCAGCATTAAGGGGCTAAAACAAGGACTGACCTCGTTGAAGTCAGTGAGCTGTGTCTGAGTGGGGTATTCATGTTAAACTGCGTCATGGTATCTCAGTGGGCTAGCACTATAAATCGGCATCAGTCCGGACTGGAACAAGCAGCCACACACTCGTGCATGCACGTTGGTATTTAAGTGAAATAAAAATTGGACATGACATTAAACCCCATTTCACTTCACCTACCATCCCAAGCTGTTGGGATTATGTTAAACACCGTGTCAGATATATACAGGATATAGAGTTGTTGGATGGTAATGATAACAGGACAAATATGTCAGCATGTACCCCAGTAGTCACCCATACTGTCTGTGGGGATTCCGGTTAGAATTGGTCCCGAGAAACATATTCTGGTCTACAGAGGCAACTTAAAGGATCAGGTGGTCTGGCTCTGTGACTTGGTTGATGGCATGTCAACATGACCCGCAGCGGTGATTGTTGCTCACATTATCCATCTCTTGAATTTGGTCCAGACTTGATTATGTACAGGTTTGCGTTACATGAATTGCTGTGTGTGGCATTAAACAGCATTCACAATTGGACTGTGCTGATCTGGGTTCCATGTTTCAGGGGTCGGTGAGCTACGTCCGGCCATGTGACAAGCTGGAGGAACTATACTGTCTGCCACAGTCCCAGTTGTCCGATGCTGACTGCGAGGAGCTGCAGCTGCCCACTGATGGTCAGTCAAATACTCTTCCCCTTACAGCCCCGTGGGGTGTAGTGATTGGAAGGTGCGTCAAATACCTTTCCCCTTATTCAAGAGCAAATGCTGAGACTCAAAAACAGGTCTTGTCTCTGGGCTTGACAGCAGCAAAGTGCAGTTCAGTGATGTCACCACTTCTTAGGTCACATAGGAGCTGTGTGATAGGGTTAGCCACACCACCAATTGGAACAACTTCTTCTTTCGGAAGACCTCTCATGAGCTTCTTCTCTCTTGTCAAGAACAAGCAGCAAATGCATAAAGGAGAAATTTGCATAATTTAACAAATGAGTAAAATGTTAACGATGTCAGATGTGTTCAGTTGAAAGAGCAACTCTTGCATGTCTTGGACTTTCAACAAATGTAGAGGTAAGGCTGAAAATGTAGAGGTAAGGCTGAAAGCCAAGAGGCTGATTTAAAATGTTTACATAGAAATACCACGGCTGCAAACCTAAAGACCTCCAATCCCCTTATTTTCGAACACTGCATGCAATATAATGAAACAGCCTTGACCTAAACTTGTTGTGTGTAGACTGGAGCCTGGGCCAGGACGTGATGAAGCTGTGTGAGTGCGTGCGTGACATCAGCAACGAGATGACAGAGGAGTTGTCCACACAGTTCCACACAGAGGCCGGCATGTTCGAGTCGCCGAAAGATGTTGTGACACCCATGGTTGACACTCTCTTCTTCCCCCCAGGGTTTGTTATCCTGTATTTGTCCACCTCAGCTACCAGTTTCTTCTGTATCATGGATACTGCTATAAGAGATATAATGATATTGTTGATATAAGGACCAGTGTATGTGGATGAGACATGCCAAGCACATTGATTACAATGCTTTTTGTTTTCACCAAAGTGGTAAAAGACATTGATCTGTGACTTTCCTCAAACATCAAGCTAGTCATCATATGATGCCAAAGTGGGGTATAAGTCAACTCAGCCTGTCCACACTGACCCTGTCCACACTGACCCTGTCCACACTGACCCTGTCCACACTGACCCTGTCCTCACTGACCCTGTGGGGTATAAGTCAACTCATGCCCTAATTACAGTTGGTGAAGAAATACAAAAATCGGGATATTACAGGTGTTTGAGGGTTGGTGTTTTTCAAAAATAAAAGGATTACAAAGAAAGATATCCAACAAAGAAATTTGGTTTTATGCTTAGGAATGAGGTGAATTGCCTTCTATTTACGGCTTGTTTCCTGTCAGTATTATGCCTTGGAAACCTGCAGAATTAAGAATGAAAAACAGAATATACCCTTGCCCACATACACTGACCCTGTCCACACTGACCCTGTCCACACTGACCCTGTCCTCACTGACACTGTCCTCACTGACCCTGTCCTCTGTACATTGTCCATCTAGAGGTGACTCCCTGCTTGCCACGGATGTCGGTGACCGTCTGGAGGAGATACACAACCTGGTGTCAGCCCTGCGCGTCCTGCTTAAGATCCTTGACCTCAGCAACCAGGAGGAGGACTTCATGCTGGATGACTCAGGTGAGTCTCTGATAGATGACTGGTGAGTGTCTGATAGATGCCTGTAGTGTCTGATAGATGCCTGCAGTGTCTGCTGGATGACTGGTGAGTGTCTGCTGGATGACTGGTGAGTGTCTGATGGATGACTGGTGAGTGTCTGCTGGATGACTGGTGAGTATCTGCTGGATGACTGCAGTGTCTGATGGATGACTGGTGAGTGTCTGATGGATGACTGCAGTGTCTGCTGGATGACTGGTGAGTGTCTGATAGATGCCTGCAGTGTCTGCTGGATGACTGGTGAGTGTCTGCTGGATGACTGGTGAGTGTCTGCTGGATGACTGGTGACTGCAGTGTCTGCTGGATGACTGGTGAGTGTCTGCTGGATGACTGGTGAGTGTCTGCTGGATGACTTGTGAGTATCTGATGGATGACTGCAGTATCTGATGGATGACTGGTGAGTGTCTGATGGATGACTACAGTGTCTGATAGATGACTGGTGAGTGTCTGATGGATGACTGCAGTGTCTGCTGGATGACTGGTGAGTGTCTGATAGATGCCTGCAGTGTCTGCTGGATGACTGGTGAGTGTCTGCTGGATGACTGGTGAGTGTCTGCTGGATGACTGGTGAGTATCTGATGGATGACTGCAGTGTCTGCTGGATGACTGGTGAGTGTCTGCTGGATGACTGGTGAGTGTCTGCTGGATGACTGGTGAGTATCTGATGGATGACTGCAGTATCTGATGGATGACTGGTGAGTGTCTGATGGATGACTGCAGTGTCTGATAGATGACTGGTGAGTGTCTGATGGATGACTGCAGTGTCTGCTGGATGACTGGTGAGTGTCTGATAGATGCCTGCAGTGTCTGCTGGATGACTGGTGAGTGTCTGCTGGATGACTGGTGAGTATCTGATGGATGACTGCAGTGTCTGCTGGATGACTGGTGAGTGTCTGATGGATGACTGGTGAGTGTCTGATAGGTGACTGGTGAGTGTCTGATGGATGACTGCAGTGTCTGATAGATGACTGGTGAGTGTCTGATAGATGCCTGCAGTGTCTGATAGATGACTGGTGAGTGTCTGATAGATGCCTGCAGTGTCTGATAGATGCTTACAGTGTCTGTTAGATGCCTGCAGTGTCTGATAGATGACTGGTGAGTATCTGATAGATGACTGGTGAGTGTCTGATAGATGCCTGCAGTGTCTGATGGATGACTGGTGAGTGTCTGATGGATGACTGCAGTGTCTGATAGATGACTGGTGAGTGTCTGATAGATGCCTGCAGTGTCTGATAGATGACTGGTGAGTGTCTGATAGATGCCTGCAGTGTCTGATAGATGCCTACAGTGTCTGATAGATGCCTGCAGTGTCTGATAGATGACTAGTGAGTATCTGATAGATGACTGGTGAGTGTCTGATAGATGCCTGCAGTGTCTGATAGATGCCTGCAGTGTCTGATAGATGCCTGCAGTGTCTGCTGGATGCCTGGTGAGTGTCTGCTGGATGACTGGTGAGTGTCTGCTGGATGACTGGTGAGTGTCTGATAGATGACTGGTGAGTGTCTGATGGATGACTGGTGAGTGTCTGATGGATGACTGCAGTGTCTGATGGATGACTGCAGTGGCTGATAGATGACTGATGAGTGTCTGATGGATGACTGCAGTGTCTGCTGGATGACTAGTGAGTGTCTGACGGATGACTGGTATCGTTTTGCTGCTTTTTGCGGATCTGTCATTTTGCAGATTCATAATTAAAAGAAAAAATGCCAAAAGTATCCCACTGCCTAGAAATAACAACCCAAAGTTTCATCTTCCTTCCTCCTGCAGTTGTAGATGCATCCCGCCAGCTGAGTTGCAGCCAGCTGTTCACCAGCTCCACGTCCTCCGCCATCCTGGCCGTCTGCCTGGAGCAGATGTGTACAACACGGCTGTCGTTCTGCCGAGACCTCCTCGTGCTCCAGGTGGCAGCCATCAGACTGGGAGACCAGGTAAAACAGGGGGATGTTTCTGATCTACTGGTCATTGACCTGTGGGGTTCCCGTCACATCATGATATAGTCAGCCTAAAGTGTTTGTTTATTTGTTTGTTTGCTGAACATTTCAACATAGCCTTATAACCTTGGTCAAGTTAGAACATTGTAACGAAATTAACCTGCAGTCTAATAGCCCAAATAGTGATATTTTAACTTATTGTAAATTATGAGACCTAATGCAAATTGTTGGACTGGTTAAGTATTAAGCTTTAATAAATATTAAATAATGGTTCTCAGGCACTGGCTTTTGAAAAAATAGTGCAGTTCTTTTATTGTTCCAACTAGTATGTAACCAAATAAACAATTGTGTACCATCAACCTGGGAAAGGGCCTCCCGACATGAATGAGTTCCTTGATTAGTAAAACCCTGGAATACAGTATTTGACTACCATTGGACTTTCAGTGTGTGCATGATACAAGCATACAATGAGCTTTGATTTTATTTCACAATACGAAAATGTCATAGTGAGCACACAACACTGGAAGAAGCATGACAACAAATATGACTGAAGTACCCAAGTCATATTATTACACTATCTGGATATAAAAGTGTTCTTTGTGTATCTGGACTTTAGTTTGTAATCAATTATATTCCTTTTCTCGAAGATTTGATTCAAGTTTGTTAATTTTGGCATATTAAAATTACATTGCTTTAAAATTGTGTATGATCTGATCAGCAAATCACATCAACTCATGATAAACTCACCTTGAAACGAACATTAAACGTTAGAGATACAAAGTCCTCAGTCTTTCTATCAATTGCAAACAGCAAGACAAGCACACAAACTCCTACTGCCGCCATGACCATAACGCACGGGATGCGCAGTACAACTGTGCATGAAAAGGGAAGCAACTGCACGAAAATACGATTTGTTTTTAAGTATTGTAGAATTTCACATCTGGGGTCGTGTGTTTGAAACACGGAATATTTTAGGATTTTTTTCATTTTTTTTAATGGAAATAAAAATGCAACGTGGCGGACTTTGTGATGATGCGTGTGGCGGTGCCTGTTAACCAGGAATATTTGTTTTTTAGCCTTAAGTATTACATTTAATGTAAAATTATCAAGCTCCTGTGGAAACGCCCTAAAAGTTTGAAATAGTACAAGCACTCTAATTAACATGACACTTGAACTGTGCGCATTCTGTCCCTTTAATGTTGGACTAAGTTTCTACAGTGAACATTTCTGGATGTCATTTCTTCAGCATGGACTGCGACCGGATGTGTCCTCTGTTGTGTGTGAAGACCTCATCCCTCTCACAGGATCACTCATACAGAGTTATCTCCTCCTGGTATGGGCTTCACAGTCAGTTGTCATTGGCAACCAAAATACTGCCCTGTGAGTGTTTGATTCTTTTATGTGAATATGAGTTGGAATGATTTGTTCTATCGTGTCTTGGAGATGTCACATTTTGATTTGCACACAAAGTCCCTGTTGGGACCCGTGTGTCAGTACATCCCTGGCTCTCTGTTGCCTGTCGTGAGAGGCGACTATATTGGGTCGGGCTGGATGATTTGGTATATTGTGAGTAACGGTACCCAGACAGCTTGGGATATTGTTCATAACATCAATCACTGGTTTCAGCAGTATGTCTGGACCTGACTCAATGATTGCCTTTACTTAGCTGGAGACCCGTGAAGATCTGGGGTAGAAGAGATCTTCAGCAACCCATGCTTGCTGTAAAAGCTACTATGCGACTTACTGGATCAGGTGGTCAGGCTCGCTGACTTGGTTTATGCATGTCATGGTATCCCAGTTGTGTGGATCGATGCTCATGATGTCAATCACTGGATGGGATTGTCTGATCCATGCTCGATTATTTATAGACGTCTTATAGCTGGAATATGGCTGAGTGCAGCATCAAACAACCAAACAGAACTTAGCTGGAATATTGCTGAGTGCAGCATCAAACAACCAAACAGAACTTAGCTGGAATATTGCTGAAATGGAGTAAAACAACCTTCTCTCACTCACAAAGTAGATACCAAGTTGATGTTTCACAAGCCAATTTGGTTTCACATTCCAATTAGGTTTCACATGCCAGTTAAGTTTCACATACCAGTTTCATATCATATTTTCCTTAATTTGAAAGTAGATTTGAAAGCGGTCGGGTAGCCTAGTGGTTAAAGTGTTCGCTCGTCACGCCGAAGACCCGGGTTCGATTCTCGACATGGGCACAATGTGTGAAGCCCATTTCTGGTGTCCCACTGCCGTGATATTGCTGGAATATTGCTAAAAGCGGCGTAAAATCAAACTCACTCACTCAAAGTACATTTGACATAACATGCGAGGAAAGGGAATCTATTTATGATGATTCATTAATCTCAGTTAAATTTATGAATGAGTCAAAAGTCATACTTAGTATATCATGCATGACACCACAGAAAGATGTACTCTTCCTTCAGATATCAGGACATTTCGCATGTCATCTTGGGGCACTAGTGGCCCAGCCTTCTTAAGGTACCGCAATTCACTGTGCAGAGTTGCATCCCTTGGCTCTGCTTTGTTTCCAGATTTGTCAGGACCATACCCATGCTTGTGGGTTTCACCGCTGTGGTAAATATCTGAGACCCACTCCACCTTAAGCTGATACCCCATGATATATCCGAAATACTGTTCAAAGCTGTGTTGAACAAGATCTTCAGCAACCCATGCTTGCTGTAAAAGGAGCCTATGCTTGTCATAAGAGGCAGGATTAGGTGGTCAGGCTCGCTGACTTGGTTGATGCATGTCATCGATCCCAATTGCGTGGATCAGTGCTCATGATATCAGTCACTGGAATTTCTGGTCCAGACGCGATTATTTAAACACCGCAGTCATATTGGTGGAATATTGCTGTGTGCAGCATTGAACAACAAGCAAACCAACACTCATTCAGTCTCAATGTTTTGTAATGATAGCAATAGTCAGTGGCCATCTTGTCTGTTCCAGGGAGTTCAATGTCAGACAGTTGGCAGCACTGGAAATCTCTGATACAACAAATGTAACATTGTCAAAGTCAAGTAAGTATCGGGATCAGTCCTTCGTTTTGATGACTGATAGAATCATCGATACATAGTTAGTAGTACGAATGTTCTTCATGATTTGTAGACAGGAATTGTGCTACAAATCTCTTTGCACGAATTTGGTGATGGGGTAGCCTAGAGGTCAAAACAGAATCCACGGTTCAGTTGCCATCATGGGTACAAGCGTCAAGCCCTTTTCTGGTGAAACCATACAAACAGCACACGTTAGCAGACTTAACAGCAGGGATGTGAAATCTCCGCGGAAACGCGGAAAATCGCGTTTTTTAAAACAGTAGTCCTCGGAAAAAATCATCTTCCGCGTAAAAATTTAATTTAAAAAAAAAAAAAACACTCCGAAAAATATGATCGAAAACCGGACAACAGTCGCGGATTGTCCTGTTTTCGATCAGAGCTTTCACCAGCATACGTTTTCTATCACGAATACTTGCACTATAACGTGGGGTGTGGCGTCACACAGAAATTGTAAATACTCAGAGTCAGCTGATGGCTTGTTTTTAAGATAAAGTTGTCTTTTAGCCTGTAAGTGAATGAGATGTTTTACAGTTCATGTGATTAGCGAGAAAACTATGAATGTTTCTTCAGCGTCCAAAACCCCATAACATTGGGATATATGTTGTATTTATGTCTTATGTTTGCAATGGAGTTTTGTCTTTTCATCAAAAGGTAAGTACAAGGTAAGTTTTTTTCAATATGCTTCAACATGGGGGAAAGGGTCAGACATTGCACGCTTGTGACAGTTGTCCTTGTGTCTGGGGGATGGGGGTTGAAGTTTATGGCAGTATTGCTCCCAGACCTGGCGGGTAGCCAGGTGTGCGTAAGCTATGCCCGATTTTTTAAAAGTACTGATTTAACTTTGAAATTTTACTGCATCTGTCATCTTGTTTATTTGACTTTTTTGCTATTGACTTATTACATTTCTTGGTGTGAATGTTGTTCAAACAGCACGAAATTGCTTAAAATGCAATCAAATGTTTTAAAAATTTCTGGGGGGGCATGCCCCCAGACCCCCCTAGACTTTTCCTCTTTTTTCGGGAAAACCTGCTCACATCCCTGTAACAGGTATTCTTGTCTGCCCCATGAGTAATTAAGACTGGTACGACATAACAATGTATGGCACGCTGTGATGTTAATTTCAACAGTACAATATACATCAGGCTGTATCGATAGTTGCTCAACTTTTATAAATTAACTGTACATTGACTACCGACTGCTACCAATCGACATTTTGATCCAATGAAGTCTTTTATTCACTCTCACCATATATTCATTCAGTTCATTGTCGGCCATGTTTTTAGATCTGCCAAGTGTCACTCTTGCTGAGCTGTTTATCCAAGGTGTGGGCGGGGCACAGGGGCGCTCCATATTGGCTCAGATCCCTGGTATCGACTACCGGAGCCAAGCTGTCTGGGCCCAGCATCTGGTCCCTCTCGTCAGAACAGTCGCCAAGATTGTGTATCCTTTGTTTAACTCTCACTGCTATTGATCTTTAATTCATTTACGGCAAGACAATTTCAGCAATTTTATTTGTGCCGCTACACAGGAGGTAAAATATAAGAAATATTTCAAGGTTATTTCGGGCTTATTTCCTGTGAAAAATCCTTGACATTTTCAGCTTCCAAAACAGTCAGGGTGGCCTCTTGCCTACGCGGCAATTCAATTCCCATAACTCTGTGTAGAAATTCTAGAAATTCAGTTTGGCCTGTTTTTGCATTTTTCCCCCTTTTTGTTATCAAAAAAGTATTAACTTACATGAAGAAAGACACAAATAGTAACATACATTCATTATGTTTGTATTGATGTACTTTTGAAAAAAAATAACAGTAATCTTGACTAAGAAAGGGAAAATATTTTTTAAAAATCATGCAAAAAGTATGGGAACATTTTCAGTCAGTTTCTTGTGGCAAAGGCAGTGGATGCAAACTAATATGAACAAATCATTCATTATGTGAAAGTTGGGTTATTAGTGAACAATTATTGATATATTTGGTAAATTCAGCAACCTAAGCTGTTTTCCAGGCAGCTCTCATCCCAGGTACTCAACCATTGAGTCGTCTGCATGTATGTGGTGCATAGGGTACACACTTATTAATCAAATTGCATGAACATATTCTTGTTTCAGTGTTACTGTTCCCTTATTGTGTTCAATGATTCTATAAGTTTTAACAAGAAGAGTGTTACAAACAACATGTCAGTTGTACTCTGCATTTGTTAATTGACATTTTTTGCTTCTGGAAATTTTTTGTCACTTTGGGTATCAGGAGATGAGTTGATAGTCATAATTGTTTTCCATGTGAAACAATTAATAGAAATTTACTGATACATGTCCTTAGCCTAATACAAGATGGCCGATGAGCGACAACTTCCTGTTCCCAGAGTTCCTTGTAGGTTCGTGTCAGTACCTACACCTACAGGAGTATGTCCGTCTGCTGAGCAGCTGGTGTGAGTGGAACGTGGCATCCAGACGCTTCCTGCTTGGGCTGTGCTACCTGCATTTTGAGTAAGTTTACCGGGGATATTGAGTTGTTTGTGTCCACATAAATAAATTATAGGTTAAAAGGTTTTATTTGTTGTTGAAAAATTGTGAAACTCTGGAAGGACTAGTCGTTTTCTGCCCAAATCGAGATATGGTACATAAACAAATGAGTGCAAAGATGTTTGTTGTTGTTTTCTTTTCTTTTCTCTCTCTCTCTCTCTCTCTCTCTCTCTCTCTCTCTCTCTCTCTCTCTCTCTCTCTCATCTCCCAACACACTCACTCACTCACTCACACACTCACTCACACAATTGGTGCTGTACTGCAGAGCTCCAGATAAGCTGCGTATCTGCATGAAATACGCATCAGAAATGCAGAAATACACAGTAAAATATAATCCAAGCGTATCAAATACGCAACGAACATTACAGATACGTTACAAAAATAAAACTTGTGCGTATCATCAAAATATTGTGAAGTAACCCTGCGTATTCGATTAGCAAATCAGCAACTTATTTTGAAATTATAAACGGGCATTCCGTCAAGCTTGCCAAACTCCACGATGACAGTTACATCATGATCATTTGCCATCACACTTTCTTGTGGAAGTATCGTGGTATTTTTGAGTCCTATAAAGCTCTCGAACCCACACGACACCAGTTTGCAGGGACTAGATGAATAGTGTTTTTAAATATTTAACTTAAATACCCACATGTGTAAAAACAAGTGGGTAACAGAAATTTGAATACGCAGATAGAATTACTGATACCCAATGATTTTAAAATGCATGGGTAAAATACCCACAACACCAAAAGCTTATCTGGAGCTCTGGTACTGGCAACTTCTTCCTTTCAGCGAGCCCCAGAAGGCTGCTCAGTGCTTCACCCAGGCCGGCAGCGGTGTCGGCAACGAGACGTTCCTTAGTCACAAGTTACTGCAGACAGATGAGGAGGAATTTCACAAGATGGAGGTCCTGTACTATCTCAAGGTCAGTGAGGAGTGGACAGGAGTGGTTCATAGTGCCTGGGTTTGTTCCAGGGAAATAGGAACTGACATGAAACTTTGAACCATAGCAACAATCCAAAAAATAGAAACAATGTATGTAACTATTTGGCAGAATTTGAAATGGAATGTTTTAATTTGCTTAATTCTAATTCATGAAATAATGAAAAACAATTTGTAATCCTGTGCGGTGCATCTTAAGCCTGGTTAAACACCAGGATGTCTTAAGTCTTGAACTAAAAACAGAGTGCTGCTGAAAAATCACAATTTTATGAATAAGAAAATGATCACAGTTACCTTTTCCTTAATGCCAGGATCCGATAACTGTGGGTTTGAATCCAAGATGAGCCCCGAATTAATATTCTTGGGATGGTAGCACCATACCCATGCTACTGGGTTTCGCTAAAGTGGTAAACATCAGCAAATGTCATCACTTTGAGTTTTTCTCCCACGTTAAGCTGACACACTGACTATGAAATACTTCTCAGAGAGGCATTACACTCACTCACCTTCTTAGGCTAAATGCCTTGAAATCAAATCAGTTTGAAGATGTGTTTATTGTGAAGAATATGTACAAGTGCAGCTCTATGTTGTGTGCAGGTGATACGTCAGTTTGAGGAGTTCAACCTGCCCGACATGGTCATCCATCTGGCAAAGACAGCCATCGGAGCTGCCAGTGAGGATGACGACAATCTGGTAAGTAGTGGACCAGAGTTACACAGAATTTAACTCTAAATAAGAAGCATGCAACATTTTAATTTCAACATTCATCTTATCACTCCCTAGCCCCATCCCTTTCAAAATTTCTTCATCGGTCCTTGAGGTATCTTGTTCCACCACTGTATTCCCAGGCTGCGTTATAACTGTTCGATCACTTATGCTGACAAGAGCAGAATTTAGATTTGTTATTTTGTTATAAATGCAGAAGCTCCATGTCATTTGAGAGCAGTTTTCCTGACACCAATATCATAGATTGCATTTGGTGAACACCCGAGTCACTTATCTGTTTCGTCACTTGTTGGCTGATGAATAACACTTTTTAGGTTGTGTGTGTTAGTGTGTGATTGGTCCACATGATCTTCATAAAATACTATGTATCCCACTTGCGAGGGAAATACATTTCTGAGAGGGAGAATAAATCCCTATACCCTGCCATGTAGAAAATAGGGGAAGAATAAATCCCTGCCATGAAGAAAATAGGGGGAGAATAAATCCCTTATACCCCGCCATGAAGAAAATAGGGGGAGAATAAATCCCATATACCCCACCATGAAGAAAATAGGGGGAGAATAAATCCCTTATACCCCACCATGAAGAAAATAGGGGGAGAATAAGTCCCTTATACCCCGCCATGAAGAAACTAGGGAGAGAATAGATCCCTTATGTCCTGCCTTGAAGCAGAAAGCCGCGCTTTTCTGAGTCAATGAAAGTCACGTGACATAGCCCAAGTGAACCTCAGCTCAATTAAACAGCTGTTTCTATCAATTTTGAATTTGTTTTAATTCTTTCATAACAGCAGATTAAAACATGTTGGTATTAAAGATAAATTTGTTGTACCGGTATCACTCGGAGTACATGGGATTTTATGAGTCTCTTATTAGGTTTTATAACACTCCCCTCTGCTCTAGGCATAAAACTCCATGTACCTCTCGTGATCCTGCTGCAACGTGCTATTTGTGAGGACAACTTCTTTATTTACAGTGATGCAATGTTTCGGGAGCAAATGCTAGCACTTCATTAAGCATGTTACCCAACTTCTATGCCAATCAATCATAAATGCTGGTCTGATATTAGGTATTATAGATTTAAGTGCACGTAACGATGGTGACTTAACATTTTTCTCCAGGCAACATTATGGTCCAAAGTGTTCAAGTATCATCTGGAGCTTGGTCACAACGAGGATGCCTACGAGGCCATGATCGCCAACCCGGAGCCTTCCAGGTGAGAGATGAACTGCTAGCTTGGTGACAGTCATGTCATACTTTCTGCATGCTGGGGAACTGTGATAAGTTACAGATCCCCAGACAAATCATGGGGGGCATGGGTGGCCCAGTCATCTAAGGCGCCGCGATACGCTGTGCAGAGTTGCATCCCTTGGGCACGCCAGAAACCTATGATTGTGGGTTTGAATCTCGGTTCGCCCCGATTATGTTTCTAGGTTTGTCAGCACCATACCCGTGCTCCTGGGTTTTCCCAAAGTGGTAAACGTCTGAGACCTGCATCACTTGGGGCTTTCCTCCCACATTAAGCTGAAATGCCGTGATAAAACTGGAATACTGTTTAAAGCGGCATTACACCCAACTCACTGACTCACCCCATACAAATCATGCACTTGCCATTGACACATGTACTTGAATTATGAAGTTCTGTACCTTGCTTCCACATCAAAGGTATCCTTTGGCTTCTCCAATTTAAAGATATTGGTATGTGTTCCTATTACTTCATGTGGGTGCAAAATAATGCTTTTTCCCAATTTATCCCTTTCTTGGAAATATTGTAAATATGTTTGTTTGTTTTGTTGTTTAACGTCGCACTCAGCAATATTCCAGCCATATAAAGGTGATCTGTATCGATCCACACAAGTGGGTTACAATGATATGCATCAACCAAGTCAGCAGGTCTGACCACACTATGCCGTTAGTTGCCTTTTATGACATGCATGGTTTTTTTGAAGATTCTAACCCGGATCTTACATGGCCAGTTTCAAATAATGTGACAATATTCGTTAACTTCAACAGACGGAAGGACTGTTTGCGGCAGTTGCTGGTTGTCCTGTGCGAGAGGGGAGATCTGCAGGCCCTTGTTGAGTTCCCCTACATCGACCTGCAGGACGAGGTAAAGCTCGGAGGGCCACAATGTAGCACTTGGTTCATTGTTAGGCCATAGTAAATTATAATTGCTGTATTATCATCCACCTCTTTTTCAAAAGTTGGGAGCAGGCTTGTTGAAGATTTCTATATGAAGAGTCATAGACTCTGGCAAAGAACAGGCTTACCAGTCTTACTGGTTTGCACACCCTCCCGTATTTTCAAAATAGCGAGCACCATCTTGACAGCTGACAGCATGCAGACCCTAGGCAGCACGCACCTAGGTTGTAGACCAATTTACGGCATGCCGTAAACATGAAATGGCCGTTTCACAACTGATGTCGTTATAAACAATTTGTCTTTGGGTAATTCGTGAGTTGGGTGGGGATGATAATCTAGCAATTAATTTATTATTGCCTTAAGCAGCTTCCTATGCCCACAAAGGCAACAATGCCACAACTGCCGTTACACACAAACATGAACATTTTCTTATGAGACCATACTGCTGAGATCATGGTCATTCTCGACCGCCTCCGTGGTCTAGTGGTAGAGTGTCCGCTCGGAAAGTGTAAGGTGCGGGGTTCGATCCCCGGCTGCATCATACCAAAAGACGTGAAAAGATGGTACTTGTTGCTACCCTGTCTGGCGTTCGGCATTAAGGGGCTAAAACTAGACCTGGTCGTCTCGGAGTCAGTATACTGTGTCTGAGTGGGGTATTCATGTTAAACTGTGTATCTCAGTGAGCTAGGACTAGAAATAGGCCTCAGACCGGACTAGTACAAGCAGACACACGCACGCACGCACGCACGCACGCACGCACGCACGCATGCATGCACGTCGCTTTGTAAGTGCAATAATCTTTGACGCGATGTTAAACCCCATTTCACCTCACCTCATTGTCACTATCACTATTAGTGGGTGACCCTCATGGTCAAAGGCACGATGGTCCCTTGTACTGAGTTGTGTCCCTTACCCATCCCAGGATCTGATCGTAATAAGAATCCCAGATTGTCTATGATTATGGTCCTTCGTTGCCGTGTCCACCTAGTTGTGGTTACCTATGATAGTTCCCACTTCAAGATGACGTGCTGTGGCATAACTGTGATACAATGTGACTCCTAGGTGCATACAGGCTTGAAGAGGCTGCCTCAGGCTATTCAGTCGTAGGATTCCGGGGTAGAATAGGTCTTCAGCAACCCATGCTTGCCGTAAAAGGTGACGATGCTTGTCGTAAAAGGCGACTAACGGGATCTGGTGATCAGGCTTGCTGACTTAGTTGATGCATGTCATCGATCCCAATTGCGTGGATCGATGCTCATGATATTAATCGCTGGATTGTCTGGTCAAGACTCAATTATTTACAGACCGCCGTCATATAGCTGGAATATTGCTGAGTGCGGCGTTACACAACAAACCAACCAACTAAAGACCAGACATGTTCATTCTTGCTGTTTCATTTATGAAGATTCTAAACAAGGTGCTAGATATCCAGAGAAGTAGTCCCCTGATTTCTGTGTGTTCTCAGGTTGTGAATATTCTGGAGAGCAGGGCGCGGTCAGTTGACCTCGCCACCCACAACTACTACAACCTCCTCTACTCCTTCCACATCTACAGGAACAACTTCAGAAAAGGTAACTCCTGCAGTCCCAGGCTGTGCTTAGCTCTGTCCATCTTCTCGAGGCAAGGGAGTTAACTGACCAGAAAAGTCCAGTTTCCACCCTTGCCGAACTAGGCTGGAATTATGGAGTTACATTTTGACTGGACCAATGAGTCTATGCATAATCCAATCAAAACCGTGTAAAGAAATAGATATCCGGTTCATAAACTGCCCATGTAGATTTCGGTCGATTGCAGGATTTACAAAGCATGTGTACCGTCTGCTCAGAGTTAACAGATATTTTCCAAATCTTTTCATGTGTTTAATCAAGGTGCTCACATGATTTGATGCACTTTGCAAAGTAGGATACGTTTTATTATAATACAGATTTTGATTATTGATCAGATCTTCACTGGACGGCACCATTTTTTTTAAGCAAATGCAAGTGATATGAGAGGTGGAATCTGATTGGTCAAGAGGAGGGACATAGCAGGGACATTACCCTTAATAGCCACTGGTTGGCCCTTTGATTGAGCCCACAAATTTCACCTTAGTTCGGCAAGGGTGGAAACTGGACTTTTACAGCCAGTTAACTCCCTTGCCTCAGGAAGATGAGCTCTGTCAGTGGGAGTAGTTTTCACTCAAGTGGTAATCTTGCTGTTTTATGGAACAGTATTTTTTTGTGGTTATATTATTACGTTATTGAATGACTTGTTAATTTCCTGCAAGTAAGAGAAATTGTAGCCTTTGACTGACATAAAGAAGACTGTGTGGAGAGAGTTATTGGGTGGACATGAGACCTCAAGTGGTCCTGGATAGTGTTTGTATGGAGAGCTATTGGGTAGACATGACACCATAGTGTTTGTATGGAGAAAGTTATTGGGTAGACATGACACCATAGTGTTTGTATGGAGAGCTATTGGGTAGACATGACACCATAGTGTTTGTATGGAGAGTGTTTTAGGGTAGACATGACACCATAGTGTTTGTATGGAGAGAGTTATTGGGTAGACATGACACCATAGTGTTTGTATGGAGAGTGTTTTAGGGTAGACATGACACCATAGTGTTTGTATGGAGAGTGTTTTAGGGTAGACATGACACCATAGTGTTTGTATGGAGAGTGTTTTAGGGTAGACATGACACCATAGTGTTTGTATGGAGAGAGTTATTGGGTAGACATGACACCATAGTGTTTGTATGGAGAGTGTTTTAGGGTAGACATGACACCATAGTGTTTGTATGGAGAGAGTTATTGGGTAGACATGACACCATAGTGTTTGTATTGAGAGTGTTGTCGTGAGGACATGCCACATGTGTGACAGCTAGCCTTGTTGAATGACGAACCTCCTCCTGTCTCCCTGATAACCTACTCGTCCTGTGTTACAGCTGGGCATGTGATGTATGAGCACGGGATGCGACTGGGTCGGGAGCTGCCGGGCCTCAAGGGGCTCCAGAGACAGGCTCAGTGCTACCTTGCTGCTCTCAACGCCCTCCGGCTGGTCCGAGCAGAGTATGCCTGGATTGTCAAGCCCGTGTCTATGTCCAAGTACAGCGAGGTGAGCTGTGACTTCTCGCCCTCCTTTGATACCAAACCATTTACAGGCTGTGAGATGGTTAGTTGTGTGTTTGTGTTTTTGCTCCATGCTTACTTCACTTCCTTACATACATATCTATGTGAAGATTATTGGAAAAATGCAAGTAATCTGCTGGTGGTGTGACGATTAGGGCTGGGACGGGTAGCTCGGGTACTCGGGTCGGATCGGTACTGAGTAGGACCCAGGTACCCACAAGACTTCCTGGACCCGAGGTTAGTCACGTGAGATATTGTTTAACGAGAGAAAATCCATACTATAACTCCATGGTTACCTAGAAGTCGCTAATTCCTTCTGAATATTATGTTTTGAGCTTCAGTCAACTTCAGTGTATGCATGACCAGATCGTTTTATAGGTGTATGTAAAAACTTTTTGCCAGGGTTACAGTAAAACAATACCCAATCAGACATTGTGTACCCAACTCTCAAGACCTACAGCAGGTATCCAGGTAGGGTTGGGTAATATGGGGTTGGGTACCTGGGTAGTAAATTTGGACTCGTCCTAGCCCTAGGGATGATAAATCGGTGCATCAGTGGATAATGAATTGTTTACATCCTTATCCAAGTATCGATCATGTCACACGCTTAGTGAAAAAAATACACAAGTCACAGAGATGACAGAAACATCAAGTCTGAAGCTTAACTAGTACATTCAACATACATCGAATATCTAGAGCTCAATGCAGCTATATATAGGTCAAGACATGCACCAGTGCCACCTAGTATTGAAAAATGCAACCTAATATTTATGTCTAGTAGTGCATGTTAACAAAATTTGATTAAGCATGGCGTCATTAATTTACGTATTACTGGTAGCAAATAGGCCTATGTTTTATTATCAGTTTATGGGACCAGAGCCTCTTTCCACAAAGCGAACATAGCACTAAGACTGCCATAGGTCTGTTTTAAGGTATGGGAGTTACGATCATCTTAGCGCTACGATCGATTTGTGGAACGGGGCCCAGGGTGCATCCTGGTTTTGTTTGGTGCATCTTAGTTTTCATGTCAACATGCATCTGGTGCAAGTTTGATCAAGTTCTGAGCCCTGGTATCAGATCGCACAGTTGGAATATCAACTGCTAATGTTTTGGCTGGTCGTTACACTTAAGTGTGTGTTTTTGCAAAACATGGATCACTCTTCTCATAGTGTTGTGCAGGTGATCAGTGTTTGTGACCAGGAGCATCTTCTGTATGCAGGTGTCTGATGAGGAGGATGAGCCAGGTATCTCCCCAAAACATGGCCTGGACGGAGCAGAGAAGGAGGCACACAGTTGTGAGTATTTACCAGCCCACAGTTCGATCTCCAAGGTGGCCACTTGGTCCTCAGTTCTATTCTTTGTCAACATAAATAACATCACACGCTGACAACAAATGGTGCCAAACAGATGACTACTTACACAAATCCTATGTCATTTCAATGTACTCAATTCCGATGGACTCATGAAGATCCGGATTAGAATAGGTCTTCAGCAACACGTACTTGCCGTAAGAGGCCACTATGCTTGTCATAAGAGGCGACTAACGGGATCAGGTGGACAGGCTCGCTGACTTGGTTGATGCATGTCATCAATCCCAATTGCGTGAATCGAAGCTCATAATGTCAATCACTGGATTGTCTGATCCAGACATATAGCTGGAATATTGCTGAGTGAGGATCTAAACAACAAACAACTGAAGAAGATATTTAATTTCAAAATGAAGTAAGTCTTGTTTTTTTTGTTGTTTTTTTTAAACCCAGTCCTGCAACTGTTGGAGAAGTACTATAAAGTACAGAGTAAGTATTTTCATGTGTGTTTCATGTTGTGACAGTGATGCGGAAGATGGAGATTCTGGAGCTGGTGGATATTGAGAAGGAATACATCTTAGTGGATGCCCGTCTCCGCCTCATCCGCAGAAACCCAGATCCCTCTCTTGCATCAGGTGGGTACAATCAGCTGGATTTAAATTCACTTGTCATTATTTACCTGGGGCCCGTTCCACAAAAGAATCTTAGTGCTATGATTGTCGTAAGCCTATGTTAAAGTATGGTAGTTACAATCATCTTAGCGCTAAGATCGTTCTGTGGAACGGGGCCCTGAGATCCATTTCACGGGACATTTTTTCTGTTCTGACTGAAGGAGTTGCAATAATTAAGTTGATCTCCAATCACAAGTTTTCAGTGTAACCAGAGCACTGTTTCACGGAACTATCGTTCTGCTCTCATGTAAGGTGTTTCAATAATTAAGTTGATCTCCAATCACAAGTTTTCAGTGTAACCAGAGCACTGTTTAACGGAACTATCGTTCTGCTCTCATGTAAGGTGTTTCAATAATTAAGTTGATCTCCAATCACAAGTTTTCAGTGTAACCAGAGCACCGTTTCACGGAACTATCGTTCTGCTCTCATGTAAGGTGTTTCAATAATTAAGTTGTCCTGACTAGGGTCCAGTTGCGGCCCATAATTTCTGGCCCATGGCTATGATAGTTGTACTCTGTTGGGAATCCCGTCCTGACAGAAGAGGATTAGTTGGTCAGGCACTGTGACTTGACTGATTGCATGTCTTTGTATATCAGTTGAGCCTTGCTCATGATTTCAGTCACTGGTTTGTCTGGTCCAGACTTGACTTTATTCAGGCTGCTGAGATATAGCTTGAAGATTGCTGAGATAAACAACATTCACTCACTCACTCACTCCCTCCCCTGGCACTGCTGTAGCAATGTGAAGCTGCGTAAAAACTGACCAACTTCCTCTCTGGCACAGGTCCGACGCCAGGCCCCGACGAGATGGTGGGGCTCCTAGTGAACACCGGGCTGTTTGACCGAGCCATTATTGTTGCCAAGTACTTCAACCTAACACTCAACACTGTCTTCGAGAATCTGGCACTCAGGTGGGACTTTAACTCTACACTATTAGAGATCCAGCTCTTATATCTGGTGTTATAGACACAGACTAAGAATAACTGTAACAGAACCTAATCATTTGCATATGATGCAGATGAAGGTTGGGAGGAGGTCTGCATCCCCATGGGGGGGATACACAACATTTAGAAGTTTTAGACAAAACATATAAGGGTAACTTCTGCAACATTACTACTTGCATGTGTCTAGCATATTTATGTTAACTTGTGACAAAATACATCCCTACTTTTACCAGCAGCTGTGGTGGCACTTGTATCATAATTGTTTTTTAGGGTAAATCTGAATTGAACTGTGGCTTACACATCCTTCAAATGACAATATGGGGAACAATAATGAAAATACTAACTGATTCAGCTATCTTAAGCTGAAAACAAATAATGATTTGGTTGTAAGTTTGTGTGTGCTTGTTTGCCTAATGTATTGTGTGTCATCCTGGAAGATGTGTGCATCTGGCCAAGGGAAGCAACTACTTCATGATCGGAGACAACGACCAGACATCGGAGGCGTGGGACTGGTTGCAGGAGAATCATTTCAATGCTGGGTCCGTGCAGAGAGACAAAAGGTGGGTCTGCTTGTACACAGATCAATGTGGTCGAGCTATGCACTAATATACTCCAAAATAGGAATTCATTTTGAGGCAATAACCCATATAAGGAAGTTTCCACAGTGTACCAGGTAAATAAAAGTTGTTTATCGTCTGGTTTGAATTTTGGACACAACAGGTAATTTATGTCGGATTGTTTCGAGCTGAATTCGTTTTAACAATGGTGGCAAGTGCTGTTCTTCATCACGTTAAGAAAGTGTACGTGAGTTCAGGCTGTATGTTAGATGGCATCTATGATACCTTGCCACCGTGTCTGTTACAGCTTCATAGAACCCTCTACTTCAATCCCCCCCACTCTGCTCTATCTCCTCCCCCCTCCCCCCCCTTAATCTTCTCACTCCTCATGATCTGCTCCATCTTCTTGCTCATCTTAAACTGCTCACATCCCTTGATCTCCTTATTCCCCACCATGTCCTCAATCTCCTCTCTCACTCTCCTCACTCTGTTCCATCTCCTCACTACCTCCATCTCCTCACTACCCCGAACTCCTCACTACCTCGACCTCCTCACTACCTTTATCTCCTCACTACCTCGACCTCCTCACTACCTCGATCTCCTCACTACCTCTATCTCCTCACTACCTCGACCTCCTCACTACCTCGATCTCCTCACTACCCCGATATCCACACTACCTCTATCTCCTCGCTACCCCGATCTCCACACTACCTCTATCTCCTTGCTACCCCGATCTCCACACTACCTCTATCTCCTCGCTACCTTGATCTCCTCACTACCCCGATCTCCACACTACCTCTATCTCCTCACTACCTCTATCTCCTCGCTACCTCTATCTCCACACTACCTCGATCTCCTCACTACCCCGATCTCCACACTACCTCTATCTCCACACTACCTCTATCTCCTCACTACCTCTATCTCCACACTACCTCTATCTCCTCGCTACCTCGATCTCCTCACTACCCCGATCTCGACACTACCTCTATCTCCTCACTACCTCGATCTCCTCACTACCTCGATCTCCTCACTACCTCTATCTCCTCGCTACTCCGATCTCCACACTACCTCTATCTCCTTGCTACCCCGATCTCCTCACTACCTCTATCTCCTCACTACCCCGATCTCCTCGCTACCTAGACCTCCTCACTACCTCGATCTCCTCGCTACCTAGACCTCCTCACTACCTCGACCTCCTCACTACCTCGATCTCCTCGCTCCTGTATGTTACAGTGCAGCAGACCAGGCCTGGACCCTGCTCCAGTGTTACCTGAACAGCTACGAGGACAGCACCGCCCGCTACCACAGATGTGTGTCTGAGAAGCTGCTGTCTCATGGCTTCTCCCTGCCCACCTGGTTTATTAACTCATACAAGGTAGGAAGCAGTCAGCCGCATGCTGACACTAAATAATCCTCATACTTCTCACACCTGGTTGGCATCTTTCCTTCATTCATTTACTCACTCATCAGCAACTCATTGTCTCATAAGGGACAGATTATCTGATTAAAATCAAAACATTTACTCCGATACGGTGTACCTCTCTGTGTGAAAATCTTATCACTTTCTAATCAGCCTATCAGTGTCTAGGCTTCTAAATTCTTGTCACAAAAGAGCCAAGCATTCAGACCAACATATCCGATTTCCGTATGTCAAAAACGAACTTACTAGCCTTTTCTGAATGTAAATAATTATTAATAGGGCAGTCTTTATTATTGTTGTGGATATTTTATACACCATATTCCTGAGCATGGTGGCATCTACACCCAAAAGGGAGTACCATCAAAAGAATTTTTGTATTTTGTGTGTGGATTCTTTCGTTGAAATTGAAAAAAAACAGTTGGCATCACCCTCTATGGCATCATAGAGGGTGACAGGGGGGAGCATTGACTACCACCCTGTAACTACGGTCTTTTGGCCTATCAAAGTCACCTAACTGTCTTTACAGCACCATAGTATTTAAGTCTTACTGAAGATACAGCCTTCATATAGTGGACACTGGTGGGCATCGACCATGAAGTGTGACTGACCGTGTGTCCCTTTAGTTGACTGCCACCCTTTAATTCCGGCCGTGTCTCTCTTACTTTTGTTACGAGCATACAGTTGTATGCAATTGTTCCAGTGGTTGATTAAAAAGGTGGTATAACCCATGGGTTTCCATTAAATATCATTACATTACCATTAAAGTTGAATCTATCAATTGACATATTAGTGTTACCCTAGGCATTTTTAGCAGGGCGCAGCGCCCTGACCTTTTTGTTTTGCGCCCTGATCTTTTTTCAGCCTGCCCTGCCTTTTCTGACATTTGCCTTTTTGTCCGGATTTTGAGAAAAAAATTACAGTTGCCTCCCTTTGCAAATGCAAAACTGTTTTGATAAGTTATGAAATCAGTATTTAAATTAAACAAATGGCTTCGTCGCCATTGATTTACCCGATGGACCATTTTAGTTATTTAGCCAATACAGATGCTCAGACTGGACATGCCAAGCGGGTGAATTTATTTTTACTGTTAACTTTATTTTTCCTTATGCATATATCTTACATAATCTTTATGCATATTTTGTAAACATATGTACGTAAAAGTAGCTGTATGACAATATTTAGTACAAGACTATCAGTTCTGGTAAAATTGTGGCTATTTGCTGCGTGTAGGAGCTGAACTGTGCGGAGCTGCTGCGAGTGTACATCAACTACGACCTCCTGGAAGAGGCTGCAGCCCTGGCCACCGAGTACATCCACGCAGTGACCGACACACTGGCAGGAGTCGACCGGATCATGTTCAATCTCAAGGTGAGGCCATGCGTGTTATTACTCAGCTTCCAGAAAAAAGACATGGATTAATTTGTTTGTTTTTAAAAATTATCTGATATGTTACTTTGTGTTAAGCTCGTCTCATTAGTTTACTTATTACAACTTATAGACCTGCAGTTTGACATATCTTATGCACATTAAATTTTGTGGTGAGCACAATTTTTTTTATTTTGGAAATGGTAATGTAGGCTTGTCAGTGAGACAAGAAGATATTAGTATATTTTAGAATACCGCTTAGGGCCTATTTATAACATGTTCTTTCTGTACAGTCAGGTAATAAGCACTTGCTTAGTGTCTACGGAATGTAGAATATGGCTTAACACTGATCCTATAGGGAGACTTGCCTCAGTAGTATGTAACCAATAAACAGTTGTGTAATCAATAAACAATGGTGTACAATCAACCTGGGAAAGGGCCTCCCTACATAAATGTATTCCTTGATGAGTAAAATACTGAAATACAAGTTGGACTTGAAAAATTTAAGGATTTTTTATGAAAAAAAATAAAATTTAAATACAAATGAAACATGCAGCGAACTTTATGATGATGCGGGCGGTGCCTGAGAACCAATACTATAATTTTTTTCCGCCCAAGTAGTCTTAAATTTGTCTGGCAGACAGTCAGGTAGGTGGAGGAAAATTTCATGCAGCCCGACAAAAATGTTACCAGCCACGGACAGGCGAGCCAGCAGTTATTTCAGACACTGCCCGTGTTCATGGTGTTCACAAAGGTGGTAAACATCCAAGACCTACATCACTTAGTCCTTTCCTCCCAAGTGAAGCTGATACCCTGTGATGTAACTGAAACACCATTCAAAGTGCCGTTAAACCAAACTCACTCACGTCATCCTATAATTATTCAGGTTTTGTTCTTAGCTGTGGTATGTCTGTACATTTTGGCACTTAGCTGACCATGAAACTCGTTACTTCTGGAAATAAGGGTCAATTGATCTTCAGTGAGAAATATACTTGAATGTAGCTAATTGATTTTGTTTGACTTCAGGGTTGTCGATTGAATGCCCAGTGTGTGTGGTTGCCGTACGTCAGTATCGACCAACTCCTGGCTGCACTGCATGATCACAAGGAACAAATAACATACAAGAAGGTCAGTCTACACTCACATCTGTGTTTCCATGTGTGGCTGAGATAGGGTTTTCCCACACACAGTTGGGTGAGAAACTCACTGAGATAACTGGTGTCAAAGATATGTCAATCTCATTAAAATCAGATCTTAGTACTCGCTATCGCTAAACAAAGATCTGAGGCCATCCTATTAAGGGTCACGTCAGAACGACCTTCCATGCAACCAATCAGGCCATCTATAAGCCATTCCAGAATGTTCTTATCAGTTTTAACATTTTTAATCGAGAATATGTCAAAATATATTTTGAAAGTAGTCGCCAGTTTGAAACCAGTGTCGTAAAGCTCGAGAAAGCCGCCTTCTGATTGGCTAATGTCGATTTCTTGTCAGTCATTTCATTGGTCGGTCAAAATTAACGAAAGTGCGATTTAGGGTAAGAAGCAGATTACTGCACTTGTGTCCGTCCTTTTATCTTACAACTCGTTTCGAAACGTATCTAACTTTTCTTGTTAAATACTGTTTGAAACTACTCGTAAGATATCTGACAGACACCCGTGTAGTAATCTTCTATGTACTAAAAATAACTATAACACATCAGATTAAGCTTCTCCCGTAACATCAAATCCTGTCAAAATGTGTCCCTGACAAAAATCTTCAGTAGATGACACGTCCCTGGCTCCCTATTTGTTTCTATGGGCAATACTACATGAAGTTCATGACACCAAGACTGAAAGGCAGAACTATTCCGAAGGACCGTATTTGTTTCCCTAAAAATAACATATGAAATCAGAAGTCATTGGACATAACTTGTGGGATATTATGTATGCTCAGATTCTAGATCTCACATAACAGGTATGGAAGTGTAAATAATATGCACAAATAATTAAAATCATTTGCATGCATATGACCGTTATTTTTTCATTTTGTTCAGTCTCATTTTCAATTTTGTTTTCATGCAATAAAACGCATTGTTTAGAAAAATGTTTCAACATCTCAATCAGCAGGAATTTAGTTTGGGGATCAGTTGACAAAATTTCACAAAGGACTAAGGGAAAAAATGACATTCTATTTCTTCAAATACAATAATCATAAATTTAAACATGTTTTTGCCACATGCAATAGGTGTGTGTTGGCAAAATATAAGAGTTCTGAAGACCACACTCCCTAATAAATGTCCAGTCCCCCTTGTGCCTGTTTTTTGTTCAAAGAAATAAATGAAAAGTACCTATAAAACTGGGCAAGTAAACTATAAAGATCTGCTTGGCAGATGATAAGTACTTGTTCGGGAATTTATATGCACAAAATATTCCAGCTTGTGGTACATTTTGTGGCCAATAAACTTGAATCTGGGTCAAAATGAAAACCGGATCCTCTTCACGGCAGAAAAAGGCCTTAAACTCCCAGCATTGGCTTCTTTTTTCACTGTGTTCACTTTCTTCATTTACAGATTTATGATGACTTGAAGCTAACTGTCACAATGTATCAAGATCGTGTGGAAAGAGACAGCCGAAATCTTTCCAGAACGTGATAAATGTTTCCCCAAAGTGTAATCTGTGACTGTGTACCTATGTGTCAAGTGACTGCCTGTGTCAAGTGACTGCCTGTGTCAAGTGACTTCCTGCTCATCTAACATGAGGTAGAGCTGTTTTCATGTTATCATGTGACGAGGAACAATGCCAAGACTTCATACAGAGAATCAAGATCATGTCGTCAACATTTTAAGGTCATTGCTGAATCAAAATTTCATGATACACGCAATCGTACTACAATGTAATTATCATCTGTAAAATAAATTTCATATTTGCAAATATACACTTTGTTGGTATGTGATTTTTGTTGCCAGCAGTTTGGGGTAGACCAAGGCATAAATGTTTGTTTGTTGTTGTCGCCAGCCGTATGACAGTGACCTGTAAATAATATTCTGGACCAGATAATCCAGTGATTGATATTATTACCAACAATCCAGGGGTACGATGACATACAATCAACCAAGTTACGTAGCCTGGTCACCTGCTCCATTATGTCGTTTATGATGACAAGCAGAGGTTGCTGGAGACAATTCTAATCCAGAATCCCCCCAGTTTTTTTATGTTCCGAAAGCTAAACCTGAAATTAGGTTATAGATGTGTTGGTCGTGGGTTCAGATCCAGACATGCCTTGATCACCGAGTGTCTGCCAGCTTCAATTCAGTGCATGAACCTGTACTACTGGGCTATCCACTCACACAGGACAATTGTAAGACACGATTTCATCACAATGATTTTCAACCTGGAATCCCTAACACTTGTAAAACAACCTTGATTATCCTGTAGATCATATTTCCATTTTATTATGACCTTTCGCCTCTATAGCCTTGTTTGGAGTCCGGCTCAAATGACACAAGTCCAAATAGAGACATGGAATCAAATTGACTTTGACTTTTCAAAAAAAAACAGAACGTCTTAAGTGGATTTCCCTCCCCATCTTAGTACTCTGGAAACACTTTTCCAACTTCAAAAATGATTTAGAAGTCTTGTGATTTATCAAGGTCTTGCTTGTATGAGTCCGCGAGTTTGGATGTAGATCTTGTGAGGAAGAGAAATTCTACGCTAAGCTAGCAATGAGAGAGATGGAGCCTGTAACATCACTTTCAAAACAAAGCTATGGTGGCAAATGGGTCCAGGACGCACATCATTTTTGAGTGGCTTGCCTTTTTCAGTCTTCTCCTCTGTAGTATTATGGACTGAAACGTTTTACTGATTTCAACTTTTTCACCAGTGCATCACAATACCAAGTGCTCCCATATCAGTTGATGCCATGAAGTTATATCAGTTAAAACCCTTTTTTTGTCTAATAAAGATCAATGTGCTGGTCCTCTGGACCAATGACAAGTTCTGGTCAGTGTCAAAACAGGGTAGTAGTTAAATGGGCAACCACAGGGTTTGAACCAAACTCAAACTTTACTAGCCCCGGTAAAGATAAAATGCCCTTGTAATGTTAAACAATGGGAAATTGGGATATTTGTACTAGCCCTGGGCTAGAGAGCTCGGTATTGTTTGATAGGCATTACTTAAAAGTTGACGGATGACAAAGGAAGGGGAAGAGCAAACTTATCAAAACATTGATGAAATTCAAACATTTGTGAATAATAATCACTGGACAATTCCTGTATATTCCATAAAAATAAGTTTGAAATACATGCAAAATATGGACAGCTGTGTACATTTTTTAGTTCAATAAGGATCTTTCAGATTGTTGTAGAAGTTGTTCAGGGGAAATTTATTGGAGTAGTGCGCTTAATATGGTAAATATGGTAATAGTATTTTGTTGGGTTATTTTAATGCCAGTCAGCACTATTCCTGCAATATCACAGCATCCGGCAAATAATAATCTGGCTAGACAAACTAGGGGGTAATATCATGAGCAACATTCAACGTACCTTGGTATGATAATGATACAATCAACCAAGTCACTGAGTCCTCCCATGCAATCCAATGACACCTATTATGACGAACAATAGTTCCAACATATCTTACTATGCCTGAAAGGTGGTGACAATGTCCATAGCAAGTGTTTAAAGTCTCAACACATTATACCAGATTGGACAAGGTTTAACAAAGAAGCAAGTTCATTTGAATTGTTTTATTCTGTATCACAGCTTTCTCAAATAATAATCATCAATTCAACTTCAACAATCAGTTATCTTCCTTTATATCAACATGACGTTCAACATTACAATTACCATGCAACACAACAAGTTAATCTCTGCCAGTGAGGATCCAGATAGATCTAAAAAAGGTTAAAACTGGCAAAAAAGTAACTGTACCATTCTCACATGGTTAAATAAGTGTGTATGTATCAACAATACTCTAGTCATAATTGTCAGTACATAGTCCATACAACAGTCAACGTAATGCTACTACCTTAATATAAATTTTACTGTATGCTAGTGTTAAGATAACTTTAAGTTTCACACCTTAATATCAAGGCATCCAGGCAAGGGAGTTAACCAACTATAAAAGTATAGTTTCCACCCTAGCCAAACTAGGCTGGAATTATGGAGTTCCAGTTTGGCTGGACTAACGAGTCTATGCATAGGCCAATCAAAGTCGTGTACTGAAATTGACATTTCGTTCATAAACATGGTGAATGTCATGCAGATTTCGTTCAATTGAAAGATTTTCAAGGCATGTGTACCATCAACTGAACATTGACAGATGTTTTCTAAACCTTCACAAGTTCTTAATCAAGGTGCTCAAGTGATTTGATGTACTTAGCGAGGCAGGGCCCACTTTATTTCAATAAATATCTTGAGTATCAATCAGATTGTCTTGACTGGGCACCACCATCTTGTTCGAAGCAAAAGCAAGTGATAAAGAGAGGTGGAATCTGATTGGTCAATAGGATGGACATAGAAGGGACATAACTCATAATGCCACTGGTGGCGCAACGATCGAGACACAAAGTTCCATCCTTGTTTGGCAAGGGTAAGAAACTGGACTCCATTGCCTCGGGAAGATGATGATATCTAGTACTCAATAACTTTATGAATAAGTTATTATTAATGATCTCTGTGTATACTTTGTCAGCTTAAGATTACATTTACCTACCTTCCTCTGTTACAAATGGAGCCTCACAGAAATTGTCAAGGTTAGCCGACTGATGTATGACAATGTGGCTGTTAAGGTATTCTATGCATTGAAATGAGTTGTTATTCTGTGTGCTGTTATGGATGAGGTGTGCATCTCTAATATTTGTATCTTGGGACCTTGGCGCTTAATTTCAAACACTGAAAACTGTTTATTGTTAACAACTCTAAATGTAAGTATGACATCAATATCAACCTCACATCAGAAAAAGATAACATGCAATGCATCCTCTGTGCAGGCCCACTATTGTAACTAAATCTTCTTTGATTCACATCATACATAAATACATAGCACCATCAACTAAACAAATTCAACAGAAACAAATTAATAGATAAACATAACTTCAATATACTGTAACACACCTATCAGCTAAGAACACTGGTCAAAGACTCATAGTTACAACAGTAGCAATAAAATCAACACCCAAGCTTATCAGCCATAACTATGGACACAAACTTGTTCCTACGTAATGTTTTTGTTGCAATAGAAGTTTCTCAGATCGTTGGTGAGAAGTATAAAAGTTCCTTTTGGACAAATATTGTTGTTTGTCACCATTTTCAGTAGAGTTCAGTCTCAACATATCCATGACTATTAATATTATACAACATGCAAATGAGTTCAATCAACCAATGATATTAATACTAGACTAGGCTTCAGAGTAATGGCTGCAGTTGCAGACTGTAGGTAGTCACAAAGTACATTGTGTTGCCAAGAAATAAAATAAATACTAGTTTCCAGTACACAAACCGAACCACCACTTCCCTTGCCAGTCTGAATGGTTTAAGCACATCTGTAACTAGGAAGCTCATTATAAATAAACAACTTTTGTCCCCGTATGAACCCAATGTTTGTGAACAGCATGTTATCTGAAACACTATTTTATCTATCAAAATAACCATAGCAAATACTTTTTAGAAATAATCCCATTGACTCAATGAAAAGGTAAAATCTAGTTTTCAAAAAAGGCTTGTGATGTTCATAATTGCACTAGCCCTTTGAACACTTTCTAAGCTCATAATATCTGATGCTAATTAGGACCAAACAAGACCATATCAAACTGTTCTTTCAACACAAGGACTAAGTAGTGCCCTGTAAGTTTCATTTCTGCACAGCTTATAGGTTAATGATTACACACAAATAAAACAGAAATGAAATATGTGGATGAAGAAATATTTTCAGAATTATATTTTGTCCAATGCAAAAACACATATATTTTGCTTTCCGTCAATTCGTGCATAAAAGTATGTATCTTTCTTGCCTCAAGTAGCAGAGATCCAATTGCATATGTCTATGATAAAAGTAATAAGAAATGGTTTGCCTTAAAGACAAATTGAGCATATTTTCTTATAATCTTCTAAACTTAATTCTCCACGTCATATCCTATTGAATATGCTGGATTATGCATGTATTTCTTTCAATTGTTCCTTTATGTTTCTTTCCACCCATCAATTGACTGTCCTGGCCACCTTCAGTATGGACTGTACTTGATCAGGAAATCCTAGATAAAGAAATCAATGACTTAGCATCTGTACATCTAAGACAAAACAATGTACTGGTCATGATAGCCAGCATGGACTCTTTTTACAAAAATCCAGGCAGCAACATGAGCAAATCAAATGTTCTTTCTGAAGAAACTCATTTAACTGTTGAGTACTAAATCTGAATAGCCACTAATAAACTACTACATGGAGGAAGTATGTTTCGAGTTTATCCAACAGGGCCACTCACTGACCAGAACCTCTTTGTTTTCTTTGCATTTCATAAACATCTTTATTACTTGCCGATGAAGAGATCACCCGTTTAATTAAACATACAGCTGTATTCCACATTGTGTAATACCAAAAAGCGTGCATATGTACTCTGGGAACACATTTCACGAACAAATATTGAAAGCTCTCAACATCCCTTGGCTTATTCAACGACATTGCGCATGGAGATGATAGATCACTGAGAGGAGTTTATGCACACTTGATGACCCCAGCAACCTTGTTGCTAGGCTGAAGTCTCATGGCATTGTTTTGCCTATGGATCTTGCTACAAAATTCCACAAATTACATCATTGGGTATTGTGATGTGATTGTCAACTTTGAGGTGCAAGGCCCCGTTTCACAAGGCGATTGTAGCACAACGACATTCTTTAGTCTAAGTTAAAGTATGTGAGTTGCGATAACCTTAGCGCTACGATAATTTTGTGGAACGGACACCTGAATTCTAAAGATGGACGGTTGTATGGTATTAACTTCATACGTTTCAACTTTTGACGTGTTTGAAGTATTATTCTTTAAAACTCAATTGGATTATGCCATGGATCATGTAAGTGTCAGCCTATTCACACTCAACAGTATAATTCTAAAAACGTCCTAAATGGTAAGTAATAAATACAATACTAAACTCGCTCCCGTGTAAATCCAATTTTCTGAAACTTGAATAGTTCTGGTATCTGACGAGCGAAAGCAAACTTTTCACTCTTTTCATAAAATTGGTATTACACGGGAACGAGTTTAGTATTCTACATTAGTGCAACAATTCCTAACATTTCATGCCAGATTTCAACTGATCGCATGTACACATATAAGTCAGCTGTTATTTTCTTGAGCTACTCATATGACTTAGATATTTCTACACCTTAGAAAAGAATTTTCAATATCTTACATTATTGTTTTAAATCAATGCCACCTAATAAGATTGCATAGTCCATGTCACTGATGCTCTTTTTCCATCGTAGAAGGAAGCGTATCAGGAATACCACTATACAGTCAAGTCTCGTTAATCCAACACTCGTTAATCCGACAATCGACTTTATCCAACACTAATGATTGGAACCGATTTAATCAGTGCTATTTACACCCGTTAATCCGACAGTCTCGCACTCAGACTCCAACACACCTAATTTGCAACGAATTACCGAAATCACTCATTAATCAGTCTTGTTAATCCGACACAGTAATCAGCTTACTCTGTGGTCATCTGCCCCAGAGTACACAGCCCCCGAGTACACAGCCTAATGAAATGACCAACAGGAAGTCAACGTTAGCAACTTAGAAAGCAGCTTTCTTAAGCTTTGCGGTACCTGTTCCAAAGTTGCGACTTCCATTCCAGACTATGCTTTTAAAAGTATTTGAATAAGTAATACAGTCCGTAACAGATGTTTTGTGTTAAACTTTAGAGGTTGCATAATTAGAAAACATATCCCGCCAACAATGTAACATGACAATATGAATATTTATTATATATTTTTAATTATATATTTGAATCGTTATCTATCTATCCGACATAATCATATGCAACCATCATTGTCAGAATAACGGGACTTGACTGTACTATGAAATGAATAATATTTTATTCTGTTGATTTCTGTTACTAAGTTTGTGTGCAGGCATCAGCTGTAACATCTTTAATCAAATTCTATGTGTTGTGCTCATGACTTAACACAAAGTCACATAGTCAGTGGATACTTCCTTGCAAAACATCTTGGTGACTACAAGCTTTTCAATTAACTTTTGGATTTTGTTTCCAAACCTCATGATCATACCCCGTAGAAAATAACATGCTTCAGTGATTTGACCAGTCAAGAATTAAATATGAACCTGAAGCCTGATTCACATGATTACAATGCTTGTTCATAAAGTGTTGCTTTGGCTACAAAAGAATACCTTAGGAACCACAAAACAACCTTAACGATACGACCGCTTTGTGGAACTAGGCCCTGGTCATTTTACCTTGTCGTGGGAAGTGCCTACAAAGTTCTTGAGGAAGTAGATGTATCTGGCAGCAAACTCAAACACAGTTGCTTTGTCCGTTTTCTCTGACATTCCTGGCACCAGTTGTCGCATTAAGTCACATGCTTCTTTGATTCTAGCCCTGTCAATATAAATATTTTCATTTACAGATGACAGTAGTTGCAAAATGTACACCAGTCAGCAGCTTCTACACTGTACAGTGACACAAACTAATTGGAACAGTGAATGGGAAGGCGTATGCATGTTGAAACTAAAGATCTTGTGTGGTCTTTGCAAATAAATTATATAGGTCCTCAAAATGTACATGCCTCATGACCTGTATATTTTTGTGTTTTTCTTAACACATAAATATACGTGGTTATCAATGGTGGACCTATTTAATAGCATGTGTCCTGAAATGTGGACGACTGTTAAATTTGAAAATGTACCTCCTCTTCCTTTCCTTCATGTTGTGTGACTCTCGCTCCTCATCCATGGCTTGTGGGGAGTTCAATAAAGGGAAGCTGGAGGAGTCCTGAACATTAGGATCCACAGGGGAGTCATCCTGACAACTGTATGTTGAGACTGGTGCAGCTTCTGTTGGGCTAGTGTTCTCTTCACCACTGCTATTCAATACCAAGCTCTGAGAACAAATCTGTAAAATACAAGTAATTTACGCTTGAACTTTTCAGGACAATAAAACCTAATGTACATGTATATATTATCAGCCCTCAAGGTAAGTTGCCTGGTACAGTCAGCAAGTTATATCTAGTAGTAGTGGCACAAGTATTGATCACAGTCGCACCCTTAGCTAAAAATATCAATTCTTACCTTAAATGTTTGCTTTGACAACTGTTACACCAAACACTAATTAGTAGTGAAAATAAGCAGTGAAAACGTAAATATTTCCATCCATTGTGCCATTGTCAGTGTGCCAGGTAGCTGGCTGTCTAGTCAATGAAAAAGATGGCTTAGGGACCACAGATAAAAGAACATGGCCTTCAGTTCAGTCATGTGGTACTGCAAATGTGGCAATCTATGAGAGTTGTCAGAATGCTGCATCCTACTCTTTAGTCATACAACTAGCCTTCTCAAGTCTTAACCACAGCCATTTACTTGAAGTCTTTTCAGTGCTCAACTGGTGGTATGTGTTGCAACAATCATTATTTGACCTTTTAACTCTTTATTGACATGCCAATAATTGTCCACAAGTCCTTAAAATGATAACATATAGCAAAACCCTTAAAATTGGCAATTTTCTACTAGTCCTTATGATACCTTACGTTTTGGGCACTTTGGCAAGGACTACAGGACTGGTGCCAGTTTCTAACACTGCATGCTGTTAATCTCACATTCCAGTGCAGTGATGTAGCATTACACTACTGCCACAAGCTAATTTGTATATCATGTGATCAGACTTGTTTCTGTTTGTAAACAAACACGCTCTGAAATCAGAGCAGACTAGTAGATGGAAAACCTTTCAGGTTGCTTGTTCAGCATACAGTAATTATAAAATATGCCACTGCAACTCTGAAAGTGAGCACAAAAACTATATCTTTGCAAATTAAATTAACAGAATGACTAGCTCTCCATTGGGCTTCAATGTCTGCAAGTGGAGCCATACAACCCTTGTCAATGAAGGATAAATATGCAGTTTTAGGATATTTTCTTAAAGAGAGTTAACCATTTCATAACATAATTTTATGTCTATCAAAATGTGTAGGCTTTTAAAACATCTTGATGGCCTGTGAAAGTGGTACTCGGTAGAACGCAAAGAACTCTGGGTACGAAAGCCTGTTTAACTCAGAAGGACAAAATCATTTTTCCATCTCTTCTGACCCAACAAATTGTATCGGACTTCCTGAATTTGGATTCGTAGTACCATGGCAGTTTATGATACAGGTTTTGATTTTGCAATAAAAAATAAATGAATAGGAAATATTTTTATTAAATGAATGTCTTCAATGTTAAATAATGGTTTACTTATTTGACATCAAACATCAATCTGTAACTTTATTAGATTTAGAGGGTTCCTAGGTTCAAATAGTTAATAGCAGTCATCAACCCACTGAGTCTGACCATCTAAGCCATTTACTCGCCTTTTTCAACCAGCATTGGTGACTGGGGACCAATTTCTAACCCGGAATCCCTACCTGGATAGTGATAACATATAATGACACCCCCTAAAAAGCAAGAGTTTCTACTAAACCTTGGAATACCTCAACATACAACACTGCCCCGGACGAGCAGGCTGGTGCCAAATTGCATCCCTGTGGGTTAACTTCACACAAGGATTGTCAGTGTTTGAAATCAACATTCAAGTCAAAAGTCCTTGTCATGACCCTTATCTTAAAGGCAAAAGCATTAGGGGGTGCCCCGATTCACATACTAGTAAATCTCACAGACAACCCTTAATTTTGAACAATGCTTATTAATGCTATTTTTTAGTTATCAGTCTGACCTGTGATACTGGGGTGAAGCTGGACGACATGTTAGGTTTGTTCATCAGCAGAGGTGTGATCGCTTGGACATTGGCTTGGGGAGACTCAGCGGTCATGGAATTTGGCTCTGTGATGTACAGGATCTGACCACTTCGTGGATGAGGGGTGTACACATAGTTGGTGTTGCTATTGGACTTGTTACAGGCTTCATGGTTGACAGGTGTGGTAGTCATGCTCTGATGGTCTGATACTACAGTTAGCCCTGTTGTCTTTGGTATAGATAGCACACTGACTGTCTGTAGTTGATTCTGGCCATGTAGATGCTGTTTCCTGGACACAGGGGTCGACACTATGTTATCTCCTGGCAGGATTTCATACCTGTAGAGAAACCAATTCATATACAATAATTACATATTCAAGAAGAAAAGCAGCTTGATTAATGAGGTCTTTGGCACAAACAAAATATCCTTGCCTCTAAATCAGCAAATCGCAAGTACCCTATTAAACATAGAGCCACCGAGCTGTAGCTCACCTGCAGGGTTTGAAATTAAGGGGTGTCCTTGAATCCTTGATGTTTGTTCATATAAATATTTTAATCTAGGGACCCCTAAATCTTTAACTTTTATGACAAAGAAATTAAGAGGTACTCTTGACTTCCATGCTTTATTTCAAACACTGACCTGGACACGTAGTCATTACTTGTCAACAGATTAGAATGTGGACAAAGACAGCCACTCAACAGTCAGCATTTATATTCTTATTTTTTCTGCCTAAACACTTAGAACTAACACTTAAATGAAATTTGAACAAAATGCTTAACTTGGAACACAGATTTTGAAGACTGAATAATAAATATGATGTAAAAATATGTTCTATTGAAGGGGGCCTCACCATCCCGTGTCTCCCATAGTCGACATCATTTGCAGCTGTGTTGGATTAATCTGATGTGTGCTGTCCCGGCTATCTGTGCTGGGAGACACAACAGTGTACGTTGGAGACTCATGTTCAAGTTCCAAGCCTGTTGTCACTGTATTAATTCTGGAAGAAACAAACTTCATGAAAGCATTTGTTTATAAACCTGTTAACAAGCCAGTCCGTATTATAAATTATGCGGTTTTGTGCATAATTGTGCACTGTTTCATGCCACACTTAGCAATATGCCAGCTAAATAATCAAATCTGGTACAGGCAAACGATTGATTGACAATATGATCAAGATCTCAGGCCGTCTGAGTACGACACACAATAAACCAAGTCACAAGACCGTGACCATCTGAGGGCTCTGAGTATCCTTAATAATTCACAGAACAGGGGTAGAGACATACAAACAATAAGATAAATCCAGCCAGTCAACAATAAATTTGGTTCAATATTTCATATTATAAACATCATCACATATTATCTATGTCAAAAGTAAAATGATTTCTCAGTGTTGCCTTATGTACTGGCAACTTGTTTTAACAGTGTCATTGCAAATGTAACAGTGTCATTGACCCTTCTATATGTTTACAATTCAAACCCTGAATACATACCCATTTATTATCTCTATTTTCATCTTTTTAATGGGTGTGCTCTGCTCACTTAATGCTCTCCTTATATCACAATCTGACGTTCCTTCAACATTTGGTTCACAGGGCAGAGTTTGAATGTTTTCCAGCAATTTTTCATGAAAATTAAGATTCGCTTGATGCTCTGAATCTGATGTAAATTCCGGAAAGTCATGCAATGCCCTGTCATCTGTTTTTGTTGGCGAGGTTGCTCCCAGTTCAAGGTCAATGATGTTTCGTTGTATTTGTCTTGGTGACACGTGTTTCCTGTTCCTGTCTGATGATAACTGCTCACCACTTACATGATTGAAAAGTTCAGAGGAAAATTCAGTCATTTTCAGGTTGTATTTGGATAGTGCCAGCGATATCCGATGCTTTGTCAACTTCCAAGTCTGGTCAGGGCTACAATTATATAAAAAAAAAGTAAAAGAGTCTTCTCAATCACAAAAATAATGAATAAATAGATCAGGTATTAAATACATTGGAAGCCAAGACATTATGGTTTTCGAAAGTGCGTTTTGCAACGTTAGTGAATCATGCAATCAGTTCTATCTGAAAGAAAAAAATGTCCCTAAAACTATCTAAATTATAAATATCTTCCCTAAAACTTTCATGAATCATAAATATATTCAATCAGCAACAGATTATTTGAGTTCATCAATTTCATTCATTAGCTGGCGATTATCTTCCTCGGTGATCTTCGCCATTACTTGGCCTCGGCAAGTCTTGCACGACCAATATTCCTTATGAATTAAGTCTCTTGCCATACAAAATAGAATACACACCAAAGTGAAGGATGTGTATATTGCTAGTTGCACCCGAAAGAAGTCTCCACTATTTTCCGTGGCGGGACTTGCTGTTACGTTGCGTGCTCCTCACGACTTCCGAACGCGCCTAGTTCGTCTGCTGGCTGGCACTATGACGTCATTGTCACATGATCCGGCGAGCACTTGTCACATGACAGATTGAAGTGTGTTAAATATCTTTTACACTTCTTATTTGACCAGTTAGTTTCAGCGTTTTTAATTTGGAATCATTAAACGGTGTTATGTAGTATGTACACACAAGTGTGCGCCTTTTGTGATTATTTTTTTCATTTATTTATGTATTTATTTAATGTATTAAAGCTGGGAGGGGTAGTTCGGGTACTCGGGTACTCGGGTCGGGTGGGTACTGAGTAGGCCCCGGGTACCCACAGGACTACCGAGGTTAGTCACGTGATATATTGTTTAAAGAGAGAAAAATCACTACTATAACTCCTTGCATGGTTACCTAAAAATCTCTAATTCCTTCGGACTGTTATGTTTTGAGCTTCAGTGAGTGAGTGAGTTTGATTTTACGCCGCTTTTAGCAATATTCCAGCAATATCACGGCGGAGGACACCAGAAATGGGCTTCACACATTGTACCCATGTCGGGAATCGAACCCGGGTCTTCGGCGTGACGAGCGAACGCTTTAACCACTAGGCTATATCCGACCGCCCTTTGAGCTTTAGTCAACTTCAGTGTAAGCATGACCAGATCGTTTTATAGATGTATCGAAATATTTTTTGCCAGGGTTACAGTAAAACAATTCCCAATCGGACATTTTGTACCCAACTCTCGAGACCTCTCGGGTAGGGTCGGGTAATTGGGGGTCGTGTATCCGGGTAGTAAATTTGGACTCGTATGTTTTTATTTTTGTTTATTGTTTAACGCCGCACTCAACAGTATTTCAGCATGCATACATACATACATACATACATACATACATACATACATACATAAATACATACATATCACTGGGTTTCTGACGTGCTCAGGGAACGCAACTCTGCACAGCGAATTTCGACGCCTGAACGGCTGGGCCACCCGTGCCCCCAGATGAGTTATGGTTGTTTTACGCCGCTTTTAGCAATATTCCAGCAGTATCGCTGCGGGGGACACCAGAAATGGGATCCACATATTGGACCCATGTGGGGAATCGAACCCGGGTCTTCAGCGTGTCGAGCGAACGCTTTACCTACTAAGCTACCCCACCGGCCCTGGTTGTGTTAAGAGACGAGTAACGGGATCGTGTGGTCCATCTTATAGTCAGTTAACTCCCTTGCCTCGGCCAGGCTTCGTGACTTCGTATCCCAATTGCGTGGATCGATGCTCATAATGTCAATCACTGGATTGTCTGGTCCAGACTCGATTATTTACGGACTGCCGTCACATAGCTGGAATATTGCTGAGTGCGGCGTTAAACAACAAACCCAGATGATTAACTTGAAGTGTACATATAGATAGGTGAAGCGGGTATCAAGCAATATGGCGCAAATGAGTTACAGCTGATTAGTTAATAAGCTGTGGGGAAATGACAAACACGGGCGGATACAGCTTTTTGAAAGGGGGGGGGGGGGGGGGGTGCACAATTAAGATCTATTTATTGTCTTTGGTGGTAATTTATACAGAATTTTCGAAATAAAAAAGGGGGGTGCGCACCCCCCCCCCCCCCCCCCCCCCTCCCCCCCCCCCCCCCCCTCTCTGTATCCGCCCATGCGTCATGTGAGGTCAATAACCATGGAGAGTTGCGCCACTTGGTTGTGCCAGGATCCGCTAATCGTTGGTTGGAATCCCACAATTGCCCCGATTTGGATGCCTGGTTTGTTAGCGCCATACCTTCCTCGTGGGTTTTTAAACTGCGTCACTTTAAATTGGGCTTTCGTTCCACATAACGTTGACACGCCATGGCTACAAAGTATTTCCTGTATATCTATGGCTCCGTCACTGGTCACATGTAGGCCACGACAAGCCCAAGAGCTGAAACTCGAGTTTAAGATGTGGCAGGTTATTGTTTTGCCATGGAAACTTATGCAATTGCATCATCGACACTTCAAAGTGCCCCGAAACTACACTCAAAAGACAAAGATAGTGAACACCGTTTTATTCATGAACAAAATAAATAAAACAAAGGAAAACTGTTCCCGTCGTGTACGAGACATATAAACATAAACAGAAGCTCCTCATATGTATAATGATGCTTGTCTGAAAATGTTTTACACACAGAACGAGGAACTTGTAGTCTGTGAAGAAATGGCACGATTTAATACACACCAGCTATCTGTGCCTTCTCTCTCTCACCCCCCCCCCCCCTAATAAAACTAGGAATCGATCAAAATACTGTAACGACAGTTTAAATGATCACGTATGGATAATAATATACCATTTATATTGCGCGTATTTCCACACACCACATGGGCATGCTCAAAGCGTTATTATTACCCCAGTAAATGGATCAGTGTGCACTCAACAATTCTCAGCTCCCTGGGGAGTATACAACCCAAGCTGCCTGTCAGGCCCTACAAGGTTCACAACCAGCCATATCATCCTACGGGTACCCATTCACTGCTGGGTGAACAGACGAAAACGAAATTATATGCAATGGAAAATACATTGTTTACAATAGGCTGGGTTTTTAAAAAAAAAATATAAAAATATATTTAGGCTCAAAGTTTGTCTTTTTTTTTTAAATATCTGGTTTTGCAGCTGTAACTGAAAACATATCCGTCACAGATAGTAGTTGAGGGCGATGCTGACGTCACAGATAATAGCTGAGGATGATGATGATGGCCATAGCGATGGTGACGAAGACGGTCGTCCCGACTGCCATCGCCCAGTAGGAGTACTTTTTAGCCTCGAGCGATGCATAGTGCGCAAGTTCAATGTCCCCTCGGTCGTAGTGTAGTTTAGCCTGTTGTAATGATGAAATATATTAGATTAGAATGTAACTTTCACTCTCAAGAACTGATCTATTCTTATATATATACCTTCTCTCTCTCCAAGGAACACCATATCA